GAATAAAAAAAAGTTTTTGAACAAATTATCATTTCCAAACCGTCATGAGAGATTACTTGTCACAAGCCTATGTAGAATTTGAAATTCAACCCAAAATAAAATCAGAAGCATCATTAAAACTTTAAAAAGAGAGAAGAGAACCATCTCAACAGCTCCCTTGCCTTTCTACTTCTTCCTTGCTCAGTTAATTGCTCAGTTAATTTTTTTACAGTATTCTGCAACTTTACAATATCCTACATTTACATGTGTCGTTTTAGTTTGTACATTTTTTATCTATTTTAATTCTCAGTTGATGGAAACTTTATTAACACAATAGGGTGAAGAATGCTTTGCTTGAGTCAGAATGCTCGAAAATCGTAGATGCAAAGGAGATCATCATCAAGAACAAATGGACAACCTTGTGAGAGACAATCCAGAGGATAAGTTCCATCCTGGGGTGCTATTGTTGATCGAATGACATAACCAGTCCACAGTTTTCGACTAACTGTATAGGGTTATTGGAGAGACAATTCTTTTGATTTTTTTCGGTACGTTTGGTAAATTTTATGGGATATGTTATCGATGGATTTTTACAAGTTTTTTATTGTGTCATTTCTTAGATGACAAGTGATGATGGTCATCCGAGTTCACAAAAACAATTGATACAAATCGTAAAAGAAAGGTCAATTAAGCTTAAGATTCTTCTTCAAGAAAACACTTATATTCATTTATATTTTTAGAAACTAAAAAAATAAAACATCGCTAAATTTTCATTGTAGCTTACAAGATGAACGTAACTCGAAAGTGAAACACTTATATGGTAATAATTAACATTCTTTCACGATCAAGTTAATAATTTAGATATATACGTCATTTGAGGTCTCAATAATGATATTCTTTGTATTGTAGATATATAAGTCCTTTTTATTATGTTCTGCATATCAAGCCCTTTTTGGATTGGATAATTATATGTTGCCAATGGATTTTAACAATTTTTTTGTGTTATTTCAGATCATTCGTAATTGATTATTATCATGTAGGTTTCATGTTTATAAAGAAAAATTGATATCCATAAGTAAATGCTCCTCTTTCCTTTTTCGATGCTGCTTCCTCAACGTGTGGATAAAGATTTCGCTAATTTGGTCACTAGTGAGAACATTCTACGAGATAAAGACTTCGATATGAGTGTCATCATCCAACTTTCGCGGAGTTAGTAATCGATAAAATTGGCTTGATTAAACATGTCATCGCTTGCACCTTCATCATATATCTCGTAGTCTTCCCCAGCTTCACTGTTATCCACCAATTGGTGTTTAAACATGTCCAAGTGGTGAAACGTTTGAAATCGTCTCCTAGTATAGGAAAAACTTAGAGAAAGTTGTTTTACTTTTTTTTTGGGTGTTTGGTAAAATTAATGGCATACACTATCGATGAGTTTCAACAATTATTTATCGGGGCATTACATTTGTGGTTATTATATTATAAAATAAATGATTAAACTAATAAAAATTTAATAAAAAGCATTTAAGATCATTAAATCCGGACCGTTTACCTTTTTCTTGAACAAAAGGAGACCGTTCACTGGGTTTGATTGAACAAACGGGAACTGGTCAACAACCCAACAAGGTCCTCTTCGGATCTTTTTGGTAAGGATTTTAAGGATCCGTTCATCGTACATTATGCGGTTAGTTTTTATCAAGTATTGTTTATGTTTAATTTTAAATAAAAATATTTAAAATAATTTCTAACCACACGATGTACAATGAACGGACACGATTCACAGATCTCTAGGATCCTCACAAAGAGAATTCGGATTCGTCAACAACAACATTAATTACAATGATGATTAAACAACTATTAATAATTAATTTTGAAGTTGCTGTCAAATTTGACAGCAACCCTCTTACTGCCAATCCATGTTATCACCACATAAGAATTGACATTTCGGTTGAAGAACATTAGTGAGATCTTTTTTTTTTACTATTATAATTTATGGACATTTTGACGTCTCCTTTGGAGATGTTCCAATATGATCAAATCTAACGGTAAAAAAAAAAAAAAAATCTAACGGTCCAAATTTAAATCCAACGGCTAAAGTAATTAGAAAAAATTATTTTATGTGTTTTATATTTTTTCATGTGTTCCATGAGTTTCATGGTATCGGTTTAGTGATTTCAATATTTATCGGAATCTAAATATTTTTAAGCTAAAATGCTCATAAAACTAAATTAGTATAGTCTACATAATTTTTTTAAAGTTACTTTAAGAACAAATTATCCTAAATTAATTCTTTAATAATCTTGGGCTAAAAATTTAATCCAAAAGGATTAAAGGAGAAAAATCATTTTTGAGTTAAAACCTAAACTTTTTAGGTTAAAATTTTTAGATTTTAACCGAAGGGTTTGGAGATGATCTTATAAATGTTATAAATCAAAACTCCAATTGTGCTATGTTTAAAACCTAAATGTACCATGGACGTACTGAATATTGTGGTATGTTTAAAACCTAAATGTACCATGGACGTACTAAATATTGTGGTATGTTTAAAACCCAAATGTACTACAAACTAATATTATTGTGTCAAAAACTAATTCTACCCAAAGTAACAAAAAAAAAATATAATAATAAAATAAATAAAAGACCGAAAAATGAAGAACATCCTGAAGACTCATTTTGGAAAAAAAAAATATTTAACTTTCGAATAAAAAACAAAAAATTTATATTACAAAAAAAGATAATTAACAAGTAGTAACTGATATCTCACCAAAATAGGAAGAAATTCCTAGACTCGATAATTTCTGACATGACACAATGATAAAACATGAAAACGACACGAAAATAACGGGTTTCGGGTCATTATTGGATGACCCGTTAATAACAAGTTCTTAACGGGTATACACGCGGGTAACACGTGGGTAACCCGTTTTGACCCATTAAGAAAAAATTATTTTGATAATTTTAAAGTTTAATTACTAAAAGATTTATTATAAAATACAATAGCCATATTAATATATTTAATATATTCTATATTAAATATATAGTTTTGTATTATTATTCTACCTAAGTTAAAAAAAAAAAGTTTTAATCATTATTTTTTATTATTATGAGAGTTCCTTATTATCATTACTAGGATAAATTTTACTTAACATGTTGTTGTCCAAAATTAAAATAAACTAGTATAGTATTTGTATGGGCAAGAACTAAGAAGACATATACGCAAGTATGAAAAATGTGAAAGAATATATAAACACTCGTGATTCATCATTATTCCTCCATGAGTAGATAATGGTTACACTCCAAACCCTCATGAATAATGTTTTTTTATTTGAGGGCAAAATTAATAAAATTAATAATAATTATTGTAGAAGTGTAAAAAATATAAAAAAAATATACAATCACTCATAGTAACAAACTTTACAACTTTCATGAAGGAGTCAGCTTTGAAATCCAACACTATAATCCATGAAACCTTAAATTTATATTTAACCGATTGCCATTTACGCTTTATTCTTCTTACTGAATTTCATTTTTAAAATTTTCTTTTTTGAAAACATGATCATTTGGAAGATGTAAGAAGATGAACAGTTCAGATCTTTGATATCACGTTGCAATATTTACGATTAACTGAAATATGAGTCGATGTCATATAGTTTGTAGAAATTTTATAAACATCAAGCAATATTTTCACTAACCATAAAACTTTGAACATAATATCAACTATCCAAACCATTCATCTTCCTGCATCCTCTAATAGATTATGTTTTCAAAAAAGAAAATCCGAAAAAACAAAATTTGATGAGAAAAATGAAGTGTAAATGCAAACAACAATCAATGGTTAATTTTTTATTTTTGATTTATATGATTATAGTGGCGAATTTCGAAGTTAAGCTCTTCACGAAAGTTGTAAAACTTGTCATTACGAGCGTTTATATATTTTTTCTATATTTTTTACTCTTCTACATTAATTAAAAAACTATTAAAGAAAATGTGCAAGGTTCCAATGTTCTAATGTTCCAATGTCCTTAATTTTGCAAATCTTTTGAACATTTGATATTTTGTAATGTTCTAATGTTTTTTTATTATGCTCTTATTTTGTGTATGTAAATATATACTAAAAAGAAAAATGCATTTTTATGTTTTGGATGTGATAGTATGGTATGTATATACTTATTTAGTATTATGTTTTTCATTTGATCATTTATTGGTTTAAAATATATTTTCCTTAACGAGTAACGGGTTGAGTCATATTACTTGTTAATATTATCGGGTCGATTTCGGGTCGGGTCATTTTACCTGTTTATTTTAACGGGTGTTACACGACATGACCCGTTAAGATATCGAGTATGATATAAATACGGAAAATACGACACGAATGTTAGGTCAAATTCCTCCAACAACTAAAGAGACAAATTTAAAAATAAATATATGACATTTTGGTTTAAAAAAGCATAAATGACACGTAAGTAAATAACATTTGAAAATGCTAAGATCATCTCTAAAGGATATATCAAAGCTTACGTAGAATGTCATGCAATAAAAAACTTGAAGGTATAATTAAACTCTAATCGATATGTCAATCTATCTATAACATCCTACGTGGATTGACATATGAATCTTTTGGTGTCAAATTTGACATTGAAAAAGATGATGTCAATTAATTGTTTAATTATTTTGTAGTGTGTATTTCATTGATGCATTAATTATAAATCATGAAAAATAATTTTAGTTATTTTTTTTTTTAAATTTGACATCGCTACATTAGTAATCAAATTAACATTTGACGTTTATTTTTTGACATTTTTATTAGAGATGCTTTAACGTGGCTATCAAAGCTTCTTAATCAAACTCGGAAAAAAAAAAACAAATATTTAGTAAAAAAATTGTTGAAAAAGAGACGGGGATTCCAATTTCTTTTGTTTTTTTGTTTGAAAATTTACACAACAAAGAAGAAAGGAAAGAAGATGGAGTACAACAGTAATCAACCTTGGTCCGAGTGAAAGTCTTTACGATGGGTAAACCAGCTTTAAAAATACTAATTAAAATCCAAAACTTCGATTCCCATTAACGCGCACGACACACCACCTCTCTCTCCCTCTTCCTTCTTGTTCTCTCCTCTGCCTTCCGATCTACTCCAGCTGTATATTGGTTGAGTACCCACCGCCAACTGCCGACATTATCTTCAATTACTTCTCCATCTACATCTCTGTATTCTGTGAACGACGATCCAGCGAGCGAGCGTGGCTGCTTTCCCAACTCACTCCGAGTCCCGGCCGAGTAAAAAATCGGCCTCTCTTTTGGGGGCTATTTTGCACTTTTGTGACAGTAATGATACAGTCGAAGCGTGTGAGCGGAGAAGAAGAAGGAGGTTGCTAGGGTTTTTGAATTTTGGGGGTTTTCTTGGCCATGGCGACCGGGGGTCAGAGCCCCCCGTTGAGCTGGAGAGACTCGTACAAGGGGATGTCCTCTGACAACATCAAGGGTTTGATTCTTGCTTTGTCTTCAAGTTTGTTTATCGGTGCTAGTTTCATTGTGAAGAAGAAGGGATTGAAAAAGGCCGGAGCTTCTGGCATCAGAGCAGGTTCGTAATTCTAAATGCTTATCTGGGTTCTTCACTTTTGATCATTCTGATGTGAGATTCTTGTCAATGGAGCAATTGGGTTTTTGAGTATATTTTCAAATTGTTGCAATTTTCAAAATTTACTGCGAATTTAGCGAAAATGGAATGTGGGCTAGAATGTGTCCAGATTGGTGGGCAAAGCTGTTCTATTTAGTTGATTGAAGTTGTTGACTCTAAGTTCTTGCTGATATGTTCTGTTTTGTTTTTAAAACCCCAATTTCACTCAATATTAATTGGGCAGCTCTGTAAACTTAAATCTCACTTTGTCAAGATATGATGCGATTCGTGTGTCTGTAAGTGTGCATTCATTTCTAACCGTATGCAGGATTTGATAATATTGAATAATTGGATCTGATTCTAGACTTTGTTGTTTTAACTTTCTATCTCTTTCATGTAACACGGAAATGGAAATGGGATATATGAAGATTGGTTCATAAAGTTGTTGATTTTAGAGATTTTTCTTCAGTTGTAAATTGCTTTTGTTTGACTTATTAGTGCAGTTCTGACTTACAGAATATTACTCCGTGTGAAAAAAATAAAAAATAAAAACTTAATTTAAACCTAGTCCTAAGTATCAGTTGACATTAACCGCATGTCACTGCAAATGTTTTTAGCCAATGTATGATTGTCATATGTTAACTTATATTAGCTGCCACACGCATGGTGTGTTTGAGGCACCTGAGATGAAAGAAGCTCAGAAGTGAAAGATTCTACATTCAAGGGATAAGTTTGTGAAGTTTCTTATGTTTTTTATTTCAATCAGTGACTATTTTAGATTTCTTTATTTTCCATATGGCATTGATGTCCGTCCAAAGAGTTTCTCATTTCTGTGTCATTATTGGTCCTCTAGACTTCCTTTGCAAGGTTTCTTATAGTTCCATCTATCAGTGTTGCATCTTATCTTTCATAATAATTGATGGTTCTTATTACCAGTTGTAATAAATTCATGTTTCTCAAGAAAAGATGGCTTTCTTTCCAAGGTTGAAAACCCTGACATAGATGCATTATATCAAGGCAGCTATTTATTTGTGGGTTTGGTTTCTAATTTGAAATTTACATTTTATGCATTGATTTTGTTTTGCCAGATTAAGTATCATTTGAAATTAAATCATTCTGGTTTTACATTTTTTGTGTTACACATCTATGATTCAGTTGATTTGAATTGAAAATTTTAGATATCTTTCATCCTGAAACCATTGACCAATTCAAGTATTGCAGTATGGTCTCTAAGTGATTGGTAGCTGTTTGATCTTGTGTAGAAGAATGTAATGATAGAACATTCTCTGGATATTTGACTCTTTTAATTCAAGTCCAGTGATCATTAGTTTATGGGTTTTTCTTCTATTTATGGCATGTTACTGATCCTCTAATATTTTTCTTGTTAACTTCTGTGGTATTTTAATAAATCACCTTACTTTTGTCATAAAAAAACCAGTATCTGAACAACATGTAGACAGCACTTGGTTTTGGAATACGCTAGATAATTTCAGCTTTTCTTTCATGCCTTTGCTTCTTTTCTATTCTTTTGTGCTTTATATGTTTCTGTATTCCGTTCAGTGGATAATTACTATTGAATCATTTTATATGTTTGACAGGAGTTGGAGGATATTCTTACCTATATGAGCCACTTTGGTGGGTAGGCATGATAACGAGTGAGTTATATATTTCTCTTTTTCAGTTATGTGATCAATGAAAATCAATTATTTGTTTCTCTGGCAGACTATTCTTTCTATTTATGTTACTGAAAGTGGTTATTTTGAATAGTATAGGAAAACAAATGACATTTTCTGACCTGTGTGTACACTGAACATACAAACATATGGATCCTAGTGGACAAATGTTTGATACAGTAAAACTGGTACACTTGTAGACAAGCTTCAAGCTTTAGGGAAAGAATGGGTGTTAAGGAAAATTTACTTTACAAGATCGAAATTAGGGGAAAGCCTTTTGCACCGTTAGACATGAATAAGTTGGCATACGTGTCATTGAAAATTACTTCACGATGTATAACTCTGAGGATACTTCTATTTTTGGCTAACCTTGGTGAGCAAAATTCAAGCATTTCAGAGAGCCTTGACGGTAAGATCATTGCTTACTCATCAGAAACAATAGACTAAAGATGGATGCAAATTGTAGACTGATGTCTGCGGTCTACTCATTAACCTCATGTGATTAGAATCCCTTCAAAGCTTCAGGGTGACTTAGCATGGTTTTCCATTGTCTTGTTGCAATAAAGTTGTTTCTTTCTCAGAAAAAGTAAATAGGAATGACGATCGTTCTCTGGTATCTACATGCTAATTTATAGCTGATCATAGAAACAAGCATTTTATAGTCTAAGGAACCAGTTAGTTATTTATGTGTCTTATAGTCATGACCTTATTTTTGAAAAGGAAGATTCTGACAGAATTGCCATTTTGACAGTGATTGTTGGGGAAATTGCTAATTTTGCGGCTTATGCCTTTGCGCCAGCTATACTAGTAACTCCTCTTGGTGCTCTCAGCATAATTATCAGGCATGATACAAATTCACACATCCATATGGTTGCTTCTTATTGTTTAGTGCTGATTGTAATATTGTCTTGCAGTGCTGTACTTGCACATATTATTTTACGTGAGAGGCTTCATATTTTTGGGGTTCTTGGTTGTGCTCTGTGTGTTGTGGGTTCTACAACAATTGTTTTACATGCTCCTCAAGAACGTATGATTGAATCTGTTACAGAAGTTTGGGATCTTGCCATGGAACCAGGTAATTGGTTCATTTTCTCCATCTAATTGTTCTTTTATTGTATTTTATTCTTAATTTCATGTTTTATTCTATGGTTTACACTCCTTTGGCTACATTACGAGGAAAAAGGATAATTTTCGATAATCATACTGGTTTGTTGTAGGTTTTCTCTTGTATGCAGCTTTGGTCATAACTGCTGTGTTTATACTTATATTCCACTTTATCCCGCAATATGGCCAGACACACATAATGGTCTACATTGGAGTTTGTTCCCTTGTTGGCTCGTTATCGGTATGTATTGCTTTATACTTTCATTAATTTGAAATCTGCTTGCCCTATCTATGTGATGTTGTCTTCTTTTCAAGTGTGTTTCTGAAGGTGTCCTTTGACAGGTCATGAGTGTTAAAGCACTTGGAATTGCTTTGAAGTTGACATTATCGGGCATGAATCAACTAGTTTATCCCCAGACTTGGGTCTTCACTCTAGTTGTCATTTCTTGTGTGCTTACCCAAATGAATTATTTGAATAAGGTAAGTATTAGTTGTTTTTCTGTCCTTGCGTCATTCTTTATTTTAATTTTTCGTTTGTTATTATTTTGATCTTCCAAATAAACACTCGGACTTGCTTTGAAGTTGATATTGTCGAGCAAAAACCAAGTAGTTTATTCCTAAACTCAGGTCTACACTTTAGTTATCATTACTTTTGTGCTTACCCAAATAAATTAGTTATAATTACTATCACTTCTTTGGCCAAACTCAAGTCTTAGTCTTACAAAAATGCTTTTAGTTGACTCTTTTTCCTCTCACCTAATAAAAATTTTAGGACAGAAAAATGGAAGAGAAAAAAACTTAGTGATAATGCCAACAATCTTAAAAGGAACTAATGATTGTATTGAGGAAGGCCTGAGATTGGGGAAAAGTCCAATCATGAATTTTGTCCCTTTCTTGGTTCTTCCGCATTTGCATTCATTTATGTTCAAAGCCAGCATAGAGATGCAGTATGTCCCAGATTTTCACCTACGATATGCGGATATACTTTATTGTGACAGAACTGCAATAGTTCACATTGTGTCGTTGCGGGTATTGTTTTCTTTGTAAGCAATTGATTTTGTAATTTCATACTCAAATAGTATTACTCCTTGATATCTGTTCCGTTTCTTTTGGATAGGAAACTGATGTTTCAATCCAACATTACAAAGTGAATTCACAGAATTGGTAAAATGACCAGCAAACTAGATAACTATCATAAATGGTAGGTAACCCAGCCCAAAAAAATTATACAAGAATGTAGGTATACCAAGAGAATAATAATGCGAACATTGGTTGGAGGAGAAACTGGATGTTGGACTCTAAATTGCACGTAGGCGATTAAAAATTTGGTGTTGATCATTTGACGTCTCCATTTAAGATGCCCGTAAATCTTTGGTAAAGCGGATGATCATTCCTTTTACCCATTATACAAGCTAGTTAACTCATTTAATAAAGAGTTCTTAGGTTTTCACCTGTTATATATTTCCTTCTTCTGAAATTGTAGTCACCGTCTGTTTCCTTAGTTTTTCTTTTTAAAAGGCTGGAATCTTTTTTACATGATTGCTTGATTGTTATTGTTTTCTAATTGTTCTAATTGTTATTTTGATAAGTGTTTTCCTTCCATCGCAGGCACTTGATACTTTCAACACAGCTGTGGTATCTCCTATATACTATGTTATGTTCACATCACTAACTATTCTGGCTAGCGTTATCATGTTTAAGGTATGTTCTTCTTCACAGTTTGTATTGGTATGTTGCGTCGTCATAGTTTTCTGATTATTTTGATTTAGAATCTGTCTGTCTATGAAACACTTCAGTTACATAGAGGTGTCCATTGCTGCTGTCCTCTCTATAATTTAAATTATAAGCTAGCACCGAAGTCTTTTTTTTAATCTGTGTGCGTGCTAAAGTCAGATTACACAGATAAATAATGGTCCATTTAATAATTGTCTTAGTTCTCAATTTTTAAAATTTATGTATTCTAATTGTTTACTTTCTCACGTATTTCGGCTTCTTCGGTTTCCAATTCGCTCCCCCAATCTCTTAAAGGAAAACAAAAACCTTATCAAATGAGCCCAAGTGGTTTCTGTGTTTTTGTCTCTAATAATCCGGTTCTCTTTTTCTTTCACCTGAGGTGCAATATTTCACACCGGTAAATTTCCATTTGCAACTTATCATGGTGTCTTATTGTGCTTTCAGGATTGGGACAGACAGAGTCCAACTCAGGTTGTGACAGAAATGTGTGGGTTTGTGACCATCCTCGGAGGAACTTTTCTTCTTCACAGAACAAAGGATATGGTTGATGGTATGTTTCCTTAAATATTTTTATCAGTGACAGATTATCGTCAATCTTAGATTGTTAACAACGGACCTGTGGTTGGGTGTCTGGTATTTGTCTGCCTGGTTTTTGGACTGCATGAAAACAATTAAATTCTTTTTATGATTCTGAACCTTGGATGGGGTATTTTATCAAATTGTACAGGTTTGCCAACATCAATGTCCTCCGTGCGACTATCTAAGCATGCAGATGAAGATGGAATCGATGGTTCTGAAGGCATCCCTCTCAGATGGCAAGATAACTCTTTATAGCTCACATCTGCCGTCCCACAAGCTTGGTTGCTTATTTTCCGGGACCTTGCTAAGTGAAACTGTATTTAATGGAGCGTCGTATCTGGGCCACCTATCGAATCATATATTTTTGGATGGTTTCAGAGATTGGTAAGAGTCTCCTCCTTTTTTGTTTCTCAGATTGGCTTTACAGTTACAGCCCACTTGAGAAAGACATTCGCCGATTGTAATTTTTGCGCAAATTGGTTTTGCAGTATATCCTGGCTAACATTTGTCATTCAATGAATTTCCAAAGAAGGGCACAACCCCCTTTTCTTCTTGAACTTTGTGTTTATTGTCTTTGTGCTACTAGTTACTGCGTCCCATTAGATGTTGGATATCCTGGATGATAACCGTGTTCGCGGTTGTGTAGTGCCTTTTTTGGGTTCAGAGGTCACTGCGTGAACCTTTTTGTTTTGGTTGGTTGAAATCGCGTGATCTTGCTCGGACAGCTCTTGTTTTAGAACTTGATCACTGACCAAAGAAAAAGACGGACAAAAAGCCATGGTTGATCTCCTGAGATACGTTCCACCATCTCAAGGGGTCAACCATGGCTTTTTTTTTGGGGGGAGGGTTCATTTTAAAGCTTCTGAAACACCCGTTGCAAGCACGGCCTGAAACCAGGCAGAAATGTTATGCTTCCGAAATGAATTTGTAATGGGCATAGGATCCTCTCCAGATTCTCTTTGTGGGGATCTGGAGGATCAATTAATTATGTCTGTTCATCGTATATCGTGCAGTCAGTTTTCGTTAGATATTATTTATATTTAATTTAAAATTTAAAATTTAAAATGATTTCTAACTGTACGATTTACAATAAATGGACACGATTGATTGATTTCCAAATCCCCAAAGAGAGAAAGAGGATCCGGAGAGGATCCTTGTCCTTTGTAATGGTATTGCTAAACGAAAACTTTCTGAGAAAAAGTGGATTACGGGAAATGAAAATACCGAGTTGCATGTCGTAGACAACTCCAACTTGCGACCTGCTTTTCGTGCATTAAGGTTTTGGGGTTGGATGTGAACTTATTAGGGTTTACTTTGTACGCCTAAACCCTAAAATTGCCTTCTCAAGCACCAGTTTTTTTCAAAAAAGCACATCTACCAAACGCCCTAGCAACTCAAAACCTTTGGATAAAGCAGAAGCAGATTTAAATGAGCAACCCAAAGGAGTACTAAATCACATACAAACAAATCCACACTTTGACACAAATAAAAAAGTTGGTCCATGACAAATCATTAGGAGAAGTGAAAACTTCGCTTTTGCATTCTTTTCGTGATGTGGCGACCAAAACCACAAGTGTTCATGTCAATCGGTAACCTGTGGTCGCTTGAAACCGCAGAATTCCGAGTATAATTCATGATGTAAAAGTATACCATGTATAGTGTGTATGCACATTGGTAGTCCTGTATCGAGACTTTTCGATCCACACCATATGCATGCGTATAAAACTACATGCACATTACTATTTCTGAATCAAGACATCAACATAGAACATTTCTAGCATTGTTTATCAGGTAACATTATTGTGTAAATCATTTTGCTTTCCCTCTCCCACCTTTTATTGCAGTTAATGTACCGTAAGCTTTAGCATCTTGTTGTAAGTCATACCTACATCAAGCATTTGGCCTCAGCGGTATCTTCCTGGAAGATGAAGATGATGCAGGGAGAGCTACACTTGATCAATTTGCGTGTGAATTTGACGGTGGTTGTTACTTGGGCTTTTGCTTCAAAAGACCAGAGACTGAAGCACAGTGTGTTGAGTTGTAAGTGCATTTCTCGCAGCACGCCTGCAGCTGTTCAATGACTTTCCAGCACCTGCCAAGTATAAGCACTAGTTACAAAGTAAACATTAACTTATATAAGAACATAGTGCATTAGAAGCATCAGAAATGGATAACATATAACTGGGAGGCCTTAAAACCATGTAATCTTCTGTGTCGGTTCGACACTGAAATAGTGACAGGTGTTGCATCAATTACAGAACCTTTGGCTATAAACAACCAGAGGTGGTCGCTTTTATAGATAATGCATATGGGAGGAAATATGTCTGAAGAACAAAAAAGGACAGCTGGAAGAGAATGCTCTGAGTAAGGTCATAGCTAGTGAATGTGACCTCAGATTATGCATCGTACCACACCCAGTTCTCATGACAGCAATTCAAAAGTGGATTCAATATACTGGTCAGGTTCATCACCTAGCTATTACGAAGCACATCATCATAGCCCAAATTCAAATTTATAGTAACATGGCAAGCCTCTGATAACAAAAGTACAATTGAAGGCTTGATCGGGAACTGGTAAATAAGCACCAGAAGCAATTCATTGAAAAATCCACAAACTGAAAATAACATTCAACCTCCTTGATCATCATCCACAGTTTCACTTCAAAAGAAGTAGATATAACTGGCAAGTCTTTGAAACTAATCAAAAGAAGTGGATGTAATTTGTGCCAAGTAGAGACACAAAATGGAATCATGGTAATCGATTTTAATACAAAGAATGGTTTTGTAAGGAGAGAAATAAAGACAAAAACGAATAATATACCTCCTATGCAACTGTTTCTAAAACCACCTAAGATAGCTGAAAGTGTTAAGATCTTTTTTCATTACCTGTGTTTAAAAAGAAAAAAAAAAAGACGGCAATTTCTGTTTTCGGTCATGTTTCCTTGTTTAACGAATCTCATATGTGTAAGCTAATGGAACACCAAGATGTGAAGCTAAGAGACGGATGCAACTCCTTGACTGTCATCCACAGTTTCACCTCAAAAGATATAATTCGCGACTTATAGTTTGATTTTAAATATAAAGAATGATTTTATGTGGAGAAAAATACAGAGACAAATATTATACCTCTTAGGCCACTGTTTCTAAGACGACCTAATATAGAGACAAATCAATTTCCCTTAATTAGTTTTGTGACAGAAAAAGATGGAAACTTCTGTTTTCGGTCATATTTCCTTGTTTCAAGAACCTAACGCAAACAATCTCATATCCATAAGCTAAGGAAACAAACAAAATGTGAAGTTAAGATAGAACTCCTAATCACTATAGCTGGATTGTATCTACAAGTATCAGTACAATTCCCCCTCGCCAGAGATCACAGATTTACCTTCACGGTGCTAAAAGAACGTATTGTCAAAAAAACCGCTTGTGGGAACCGTTAGGGTGCATTTTTAGGGAGGATTAGCTTGGGTAGCATAACTCACTAGATCAAGGCATACTGAAGGAAAAAATGGATCATAACTTCCAAATTTGTCCAAGTTAATCAGGAAGGAAAGTTATCCCTTCTAATCCCACCTTTTTGTGGGCATTCGAACGGACAACTTTCCTTCATGAGTAACCCATCCTCTACCTTCAACTTGGATATGCCTTGAATCTAGCAATTACCCTATACAACCCAATCACCTCAATCACCCCAAACAAACACACCCTTACCGTCTTATATATTTTTTGAAAAGCGCCGGATTATATATTTTTTTAAAAGCTCAGGGAAGAGTAAAGCAAGCAGCCAATCACCAGCCAGAAATCAAATCACAATGGATTTTATATAAATCACAATACGATGGAGAAATAAACAAAAATTGTTCTTGAATGGAAAGATATTCGATTCGACCCATGAATTTTAAAGCTTCACTCTTGGGAAAGAGAATGGAGACGGTAGAAATGTCCCTTTATTTTCTCGGCAACCAAACAATATTTTCTCGGAAACCAAACAAGTGATACATAATAATAAGGAGGAGAGGAGGAAAGGGAGGATGGACGGACGGACGTACTTTTGAGGAAGGAAGTTGTTCTTGGAGAGGCATGCTTGAATGTTGCAGGCTTCTTTCTTGCACGGCTCTTTGCTTTCTTGCCGCGCCATCTCTCTCTTTCTCTCTCTCTTTAAAGCATTCGATCGTCGGAAATGGCAGCTCCTCCGGTTTCTAATATTTATAGAAGTCTCAGCGAGCGACCGACCGACCGACCTTCCCAGGTGTGCCGCTTCTGTCATGGACCGGCTTATTCGTTTTCTTTGGGAACACTCGGTCGGACTCGAATCGATTCGATTTTGGATATTTTTTTGGGATTTTAACAAAAAACCGGTACGGTTAATTTTAACGAAAAATTACATTTTTACACTAAAAAGTTAATATGATACTATTTATTTTACACTTTATTTTGTCCTTATTGTTAAAACTCAAAATTTTCAATCACTTATTATTAGTTTTTTTTTTCTTTTCACGATTCTCTTCGAATCCTTTTGGCAAGGATTCTGGAGATCTGTGAATCATGTATGTTTATCATATATTATGAGGTTAGATATTGTTTGTGTTGAATTTTAAATAAAAATATTTAAAATGATTTATGACCGTTTGATGTATGATGAGCGGACACGATTCATAGATTCCCGGAATCCTTACAAAGAGAATCAAACGAGGATCCGGATTCTTTTTTATGACCCTCTACTTCCACAGAATTTCTAACTCTACCTCCTATATTACGTCTCACTTTACTTTTTATATTATTTATATCCCAAATTACTTCATTATATCAGCTGGGTTAAGAGATATATTTGTTTCGTTAATGTGGCAAGAACTCTTTGGTCTTTTTAGCGTTTAATAATTTTGAGAAGTTGAGCCAATTAGAGTTGTGATAGAGGGAGTTTACAGTAATTTTAGCAGCTGTTGGCTTTGGTGTGTTTTTCTTGCCAATGTGATTTTTGCTATTTTAAAGTTCCAAATATGAAAAAGAGCTAAAAAACCAAAGAGTCTTTGCTGCATCAGCAAATCTAAAACTAAAGTATTCTCCTTCGATCGATTTCACGAATGAAATGAGTACATGAGATAAGGTAAGATATAACAACGTGTAGAAGTAAAGTGAAATTTTGTAAAGGGTAAAGGGTCATTGAAAAAATTGAATCATTTTCGAATCCTTTTTACTTAAAAGCCACAAAGATGTTAGCCTAAATAACCAAAGCTAATGTAAGGCCTTGAGCAAAGGGTACTACCGATTTTGCTAATTATACACGATCATCGTTTAAATCTCTAGTTTGCGTGAAAAGTCATTCCAACTGATAAAGAGGTCAAGAGCTTCATGACAATTTAGCTCCTTGACCTTGTATATTAGCTTAACCTTGTTGTTATAATAATTCTATTTCCATAACTAAATCTATCATAAAAGGTGGATCCGTTTTAATCGGTTCAGTTTTTTTGTCAAAACGACAATCAAACCAAAATTACTATTTATTTCAATTTTCTTCGGTTAAATTTGATTTTGGTTCAATTTTTTTTATTCGGTTTAGGTTTTTTTTTTTATTATATAAAATTGAAAAGTGCTTTCATTTTTAGTTGATAAAACCTGAAAAGTATATTCAAATCGTAGTCTGCTGTGCTTTGCAACTCCAACTTTTGACCCAAACCTATTGAGATGGATTGGAATTTTTTTGAGATGTTGTGGATTTGATTCAAATTATCAAGCAAATAGTACATAACAAGGCATGCTTAAAAATACATAATAGTATTGAGATACATACATTGCAAATTAAAATAACATAAATTATAAAATATTAGAATATACTGAAAATAAGAAAACAACTTTATAATAAATGTTCATATAAGTGTTCAAAAATCTCTTTTATTTTATTGAAAAAATGAAATAAAAAATAAAAAATATCGTTTTTTCTCCACCTCCATAGGTTAGGCGGACGGCTATCTAGCTGCGACCAGTACTATAACTCTAACGATGATGACCAGCAAAGCGGTTAAGATTCCCCAAACTATCAGATCCTTCTTTTTCCACCTTATCTGACATTCCAGCTGCCTGCAATCTTGTGCCTGCATCGGCAAACCAATCAGTAACACAGCATACATAAGAAAGCGAATCCTATCAAATCTTCCAGCTAAGAAAGCGAGGGCGGAAGCAGCACCATTAAAGGAATGCGTTCTCGATCTCCATCTCGGTCTTGATCAGAATTGGCGGTGGTTGCGGGCAGTGCGGCGTCGGAGGAACGGCGTGAGCGGGAGAGAGTGGAGAGGAAATGGTGCTGGTGGCGCTTTTGATCTTCGGTTTGTCCTTGACGGCGTTCGAGGGCTAACTGCTCTCGATCGAGGACAGAAGCAGATTCAAGATCCCAAAAAACCGAACTGGATTGTTTGACACGTGACTCTATTCCAAATGGGTACTTTGCCACATTCAAATGGGTACCATCTAAAACTTGGACCGAAATCTCTTCAACAATTTTTTGAATAAATTTATATTCATGCCTACAAGTTTAAAAGCATAAAAAAGAACATTATTATAATTAAACTACAAGAAATTAGTGGATGTTCCATGTAATCAATATTTTAAGTGCAGACAGACAACTCTACACAAGAAAAAGTAAATCAAATATTTGGACTAAATGAATAATATTAAACTATACTAGATGAAACTCTTAGATATTTCATGTAATAATAAGATACTAATCATAAAAACAATAAAATATGACAAAATTACCCCTGCACTATTTTATGCATTCGTCTCGGTTGGGTTTGAACTTTTTTTTTTCTTTTTTGGGGGGGAGGGGTGCATTTGTCTCCCATTCTTTTTGGTGAAGCCCGTGACCTCAAATGGGCTATTGACATTATATATTAAGTATAGATGAATGGTGTTTAGCTATGTGTTGATAAATTTTATAGGCCGAACATGATTCACCATCAATATTATCGATATTGTCTCAAATTGATCTCCTACTAGTTAGTATTAGATTTTACCACAAAAATTCTCGTTAGTATTAGGAGCGCAAACTCTCATATATTTGTTGTATATTATTTTATTATATGACCGATGTGGGATCATATTCTCCATTATGTGTTTCCTTCACATACTAATAATGAATTAACTTAAACAAGTTTTCCTATAATATTATGAGGGAATAATATCAAAATATTATGAAAAATGCTAGGGATAATTTCTCGAAAGTGAAACTCTCCATTAATTTTTTGCCACAATGTTTTAATATTGGCAAGGGAACTAACACTAAACTATGAGCTGTGAGAGAGCTCAAGGAGAGTTCTACTTTGAGAGGGTCTCCTTAGCATTTCTCAAATATTAGATAATCATGTTAGTCTTTTTAACTAAAGTAGTTGTTGAAATTGTTATAACTCCTTACTTTGATCACTGAAATTTAAAATTGATAGAAGTGATTCTTGAGGTTAGAAAAATACCCGTCGGCCAGGAATGACCAGCCAGACAAATTTGCTGCTTTTGTAAGAGTTTCTCTCCAGCTCAACACCTTGTCCATGTTATGTTTGAGTTTGCTTTCATGGTGAGCAAGTGCCTTACCGAAACTCTTACTTTGGTTCCTCACATCCGATGGATCCACCTTGTAAAAAACTGGAAAAACCATCCGCTGCAGTTGTTCTTTACAGTGAAAGATGTGAACGAGTTCATCTAAGCACCACACTGAGGAAGCATAGTTTTCGGAGAAGACAACAAGAGAAATCCTCGAATCCTCAATTGCTTTGAGAAGCGATGATGATATTTCCTCTCCTCTTTTAAGCGTCTCATCGTCCATGAAGGTTTTGATTCCCTTCTGAACCAAATTGTTGTACAGATGACCCACAAAATTGTAGCGGGTATCTTCTCCTCTAAAACTGAGGAAGACATCATATGTCCCTGAATGTGTGTAAGAAGAAGACGAAGAGGAAGAGGCTCCTTCATTGGCCGTTGAATCCATGATCGTTCGATTACTAAAAAGGATGAGATGCTGAGAGATTAAATGTCAAAGACTGATCGATCTCTTGTGTTATGTACTTATGATAAGGCCTCTTTTCTAGACTTGACAATATGCGTGGCAGTTTCCTTGCCATCTTCCACGCTGACCTGGTCAAGGAAATTATAATCACGTGGCCGGTTCATTTTTGATTCGGCTAGTTCATAAAGACAAAAATTGACGTAGTGAAATATTATGACATAGTGGTATTCTTTTTCACTTTTACGTGAGAAGTCTCAAGTTCGATTCATAAATGGCTAGTTTGATCCACATTATTATGCATTCAACTGTGTGGCTTAGCCTAATTTGGTTTTTATCATAAGTCTTTACTGAACTATTATTTATAGTTGTTTTAATATATACAAGTGAATTACTTGCCATGACTGGGCCGTGGGAGATTAGGGAAGTCGAGGATAAACTTACAAATATTTTGGGTGAACCTTTTATTGAAGAGTCGATTGAGCAAAAGAACGAGCTAATTGGTATACTAAATAATTTGCTTGAGGAAGAGGAGCTATTTTGGAGACAAAGAGCAAAAGAAAATTGGGTCAAACTTGGCGATTGTAACACCAAATTTTCCACCAAAAAGCTAATTGAAGATAAAAGAGGAATTCGCTGCATGGTCGTGAGGATGATGGTAGGGTATGGCATGAAGACCGTAAGGGAATGGAAGATGTGGTGGTATCCTATTTTTCCACCTTATTTACTTCCAATGGTGCTTGCCAATTTCGAAGATATTTTATGTAATATCACACCTTCGGTAACGGATGAGATGAACAACAACCTTGGGAGGCCTATCACGGATGAGGAGATTAAATGTGCAGTCTACCAAATGCATCCCACCAAAGCATCTGGACCCGATGGTATGTCTCTCGGGTTTTATCAAAAACATTGGGGGATTGTAGGTCCTGATGTTTGTAATTGGAATCCGTGCTATGATTTTATCGGGGCAAATCCTAAGGAAGATTAATTATACACATGTTACTTTGATTCCCAAAGTGAAGGAGGCAACAAAGATGACACAATTACACCCTATAAGCCTGTGTAATGTTCTTTATAAAATTATGGTGAAGGTATTAACGAATAGAATGAAGCTAATTCTTCCCCATGTCATATCTCCCACCAGAGTGCTTTTATTCTGGGGCGATTGATTTCCGATAATTACTTAGTCGTCGTGGAAGTTGCTCATTGTATGCATAAACAGTCCTCAGGGTTGAATGGGCTTATGGCATTGAGGTTGGACATTAGCAAGGCATATGATCACCTGGAGTGGAAGTTTCTTGAGGCTATGATGTATCACATGGGTTTGTCGTTGACATGGATCCATATGGTTATGTTGTGTGTTTTCATAGTCTCGTACTCTTTCTAATGCTAGGGAGACTAAATTTTGAAACAAAATTTGCAAACTAAATGATGTGTCACCAATAAGAATGAGCATGTTTATCAACGCTCAGACACCAATAAGAATGAGCACGTTTATCAACGTTTAAGTAATAAATCAATTAACAACTTTCATGTCCTTTAGTTTCTAAAACTTTATCTACAAATTTAGTCTTCCTAGCATTACTCATAGTCTTGTACTCTTTCTAATGCTAGGGAGACTAAATTTTGAAACAAAATTTGCAAACTAAATGATGTGTCACTAATAAGAATGTCAGAATGAGCATGTTTATTAACGCTTAGGTAATAAATCAATTAACAACTTTCATGTCCTTTAGTTTCTAAAACTTTATCTACAAATTTAGTTTCCTTAGCATTACTCTGAGTTGGGAAGTTAGGAAGTCGAAGAAGGAAACTTTATCGTATGTGAAAGATTGGCTTTGGAAAAAACTACAAAGTTGGTGTGGTGGCTTATTGAGTTGCAGGGGACGAGAATTGTTAGTGAAAACAGTGGCACAAGCCTTGCCTATGTATTCTATGCAATGTTTTCTTCTTCCTAAATCCTTATGTGAAGAATTAAACATGATGATTGTAAAATCTTGGTGAAGTGGTGATCCGGGCAAGCGGAAAATCCATTGGCTCAATTGGTGTCACTTGTGCAAGCCTAAACACAAGGAAGGTCTTGGTTTCAGGGATCTCTATGCTTTTAACCTTGCCTTATTGTCGAAACTAGTGTGGCGTCTCTTTCAACAATCTGTCTCTCTTGTCTATTATGTTTTCAAAGCCCGCTACTTTCCTACAACTGACTTTCTGGGTGCTCGGGTCAATGCTAATGGATCGTATGTTTAGAAGAGTATTGCGGCTGCACGGCCGGTGATACATAAGGGCATCGATGGCAGCTAGGTGATGGGAAGAATATCAGAATTTGGCAAGATAATTGGTTGCCGAGAGACTCCTACTTTTGAATTTTGAGTCCACCGTTGGTGTACTGGGATGTTGCAATAACGGTGGATAATCTCTTCCTTGCTGACTCGTGACAATGGGATTTTGAGCTGCTGCATGATTATTTTCTCAGGAGGAAATGGAACTAATCGTCAGCCTTCCATTCAGTATGTGTTCGGTTGTGGATTGTCGAATTTGGCATTATGAACGCAACGGGAAGTTCTCAGACCGAAGTGCCTACCATGTGGAACGTAGAGTCATTCCCTCAGCCGGGGATGGCGCAAATGCTTCTTCTTTTTATTCTTCTTCTGATGATGGAAGGGAAATGTTATAGAAGAAATTATGGAATGCATGTGTTTCCGGGAAGGTCAAGATTCGTGTTTGGCGTGCATGTTTGGACTCTCTTTCCACAAAATCGAACCTTACAAAGAGGTGAGTGGCTGTGGATAATTTATGTGGTTATTGTTGTTCACACGGCGAATCGACAGAACATTTACTAAGGGATTGCAGAATGGCGAAGGCGGTTTGGTTTGGTGGTTTGGGACTCAAGCTTGAGAAGGGCAACACTCAACAACTTATGCAATGGTTATTACAAATTGCTATGCACTTTCCATCCTCGGTCTTTGACTTTTGTTTGATGACCTTATGGATGCTGTGGAAGAATATAAATGACGCACTTTGGAATGGGTCTTTTTTGTCGTCGCAGGAGGTGGTGTTTCGAGCAGAGCGTTGACTGCAGGAGTATCAAAAATGGCATAATCTGTTGCGAGGAAGTCAAACCGTACCCACCAGAAGTGGAGAAAACCTGATGTAGATTGGGTTAAATGTAACTGATGTAGATTGGGTTAAATGTAACTTTGATGGGGCGTGGATTCAACAAGGTTTACGGGGTGGCTTTGGTGTTGTTCTTCGGGATCAGATGGGGGAGTTCATTGCTGCTGCTGGTGGTACCATTGGAAGGACAAGCTCTGCTTTCCACGCTGAGCTCTTTGCTGCGCGTCAAGCTGTTTTGTTGGCCCAGGCTTATTGCCCAGTTGGTAAGAGTGTAGTATTCGAAGGAGACTCAATTGTGGTATTTGCTGCCATGAAGGGTCAGGATGAAGATTGTTCACCTTTTGGTCCTATTATCAACGACCTTTGCTATTTGCTCAAAACCTTGCCTCAACCGTTGTTAAACCACGTTTAGCAGGAAAGTAACTCGGCAACGCATCGCCTTGCTTGAGTGGGAATTGGTAGTAATCAACAGTTTATGTGGTTTGAAGACCCTGATTTGCTTAGGGATATTTTGTTCGAAGATGCTATGTATTGTCATTTGATGATAGGTTTTCTTGTTGTACGGGACACTCTTTCTCCTTTGACTGAGTTAAAAGTCCCGGCAAAGTTTTATCGAAGCTCATAGTACACACTATCTTTAGTTTATACGTTTTTTGATTTGCTTAATGAATATCGTACTTTTTTTTTTTTCTTCTTCAAAAAAAAAAAAAAAAATACAAGCGAATTACCAATTTTAACTTAATTACACTAGCACCCGGAAGGACCGGGAAGGGAAAAAATTTAAACCCAAGACAAAATAGACTGTTGAAAATGAAGGCCCGTCATAATTAGGCGATACACACACAAGGCATTGGCATATATTAGGAAAAATCCTGAATTCAAATTTAAAACTTGGACCATTCTTCCACATAAGCAGACTTTTCATTTTAGTGGTGATTAGTCAGATGATAGTTTCAGTTATTTTCTATATTTTTCTTATCGATTTCACCTTTCTCAACAATTATGCATAATCAAACACGAACTGGTGGTTTAGTGATAAATGACGAATTACAAGGTTTTTTTTTAAACTAAAAATTGGAGGTTTCAGGTTCGAAACTCAAAGACTTGTGGTCAGGGGAGGCTGAAATGCTTCTGTGAGTTTTCCTAACCCCCAAAAGAAATGGATAACCGTGGTTTGCCACCAATTGTCTTCCTTAAAAAAAAAAAAAATTATGCATAACCACCATATGCATAAAGAGATCAAGAGCTTATGAAGTCATTTAAATCTCTAATCCTTGTGAAGTCATTCTAAATGATAAAGAGGTCAAGAGATTCGTGGCAATCTAACTGCTTGACCTTCTATATTGGCTTAACTTAATTAGTTTAACAAATGTTTCTCTCTTGTTGTTATGATAATTATACATTCAGAACTAAACCCATCATTAGTGATGAGTTCAATTTCAATCGATTCAGTTTTTTTGTCAAAATGAAAATCAAACCGAGATATTACTATTCATTTCGATTTAGTTCAGTTTGCTTCAGTTTTCTTTTCTCTATTCAGTTTGACTTTGATTCGATTTTTTCCGGATCGGTTTTTTTTTAATTGATCTGGTGCTGAGAAATTAGAACCCTTAAAAAATCTTTTACCATAAAATTACTTGCATTTTGTAATTTTATCATCACCTAAAATAAATAGATGTGTGCACAGAAACCACAGTCAAAACTCAAATCAAAATACAATTTTTAAGGATCAAGGCAGCCACAATGGCAACCATTGAAGGACTGCGACAGTGATCGAAGCCAATCCTACCAAATCTTCCAGCTAAGTAAGCGAGGGCGGAAGCAGCACCATTAAGGACTGCGATCTCGATCTCTGTCTCTATCTCTATCTCGGTCTCGGTCTCGGTCTCGGTCTCGGTCTCGGTCTCGGTCAGGATTGGTGGTGGTTGCGGGTGGTGCGGCGTCAGAGGAACGACACGGGTGGGAGAGACTGAAAAGGGGAAGGTGCTGGTGGCCCTTTTGATCCTCGGTTTGTTCTTGATGGCGTTGGAGGGCTAATTGCGGGCAAGTGAGGACACGAGCAGATCGAAAATCGAAACAAACCGAACCGGATTGATTGACACGTAACTCTATTTCAACCGGGTACTTCGCCACATTCAGGCAGGAGCTATCTAATACTTGGAACGAAATCTCTTCAACAATCTTTTGAATAAATTTAGCTTCATGGCTACAAGTTTAAAGGCATAAAAAGGAAATTTATTATAATTAGATAAATGACATTTAGCTATGTGTTGATAAACTTCATAGGTCGAACATAGTCCACCATCAACATTATGATATTGTCTCAATTTTATCTCATATTACTAGAAGTTAGATTTTATTACAAAAATCTCGTTGATATTAAGTGTTGAAACTTCCATATATTAATAGCATATTATTTTGTCATATGATAACGATGGATTTGAAATCCTATTCTCCAACATGTGTTTGATTCACATTCTAATAATGAATACAACTGAAACAAGTGTTCCTGTAACAAATGTGAGGGAATAATATTGAAATATTATAAATGTTAAGGAGAATCTTTTAAAAGTGGGATTCTCGATAGATTATCTGCCATCTTATGTTTTTTACACAATATTTTATAATGTTAGCATAAGAATTAACGATAAACTGTGAGTTGTCAGAAAGCTCGTGGAGAGTCCCACTTTGACGGAGTCTTTAGCATTTCACATATATTATATATTCATGTTAAGATTTTTAACCAAGATAGTCCCTTAAATCATCATAAGTCTTCATTTTGGTCACTGAAAATTAAAATCGATAAAAGTGGTTCTTGAGATTGTCCATCGTGAATCATTTGGTTCTTCCGTGAGAAATATCCGTTAAATTGAAAAAACCCCCAGTTCAAGTGGAGGGATTGATTTGATAAAAATAACATCAATTCAATAGAGATTTTTCACAAAAGAACAAAAAGTAATTGACAGTAGAGAATATTAGAGATTACTTCTAGTAATTTTAAATCTCAAGGAACAAGTAAATAGTTATGTCAGTCTCTGAAGAAATCATTTTGGCTAAAAACCCTGATATGCTTGTGAATTGAAGTAAATATTAAGCTTATTTTACATTTGAATGGTAGGTTTGCAAGCATATGGAGTCAGAAAAATACCCGTCCACCAGGAATGACCACCCAGACAAATTTGCTGCTTTTGTAAGAGTTTCTCTCCATCTCAACACCTTGTCCATGTTATCTTTGAACTTGCGTTCATGGTCAGCAAGTGCCTTACCGAAACTCTCTCTTTGGTTCCTCACATCCGATGGATCCACCTTGTAAAAAACTGGAAAAACCATCTGCTGCAGTTGTTCTTTACAGTGAAAGATGTGAACGAGTTCATCTAAGCACCACTTTGAGGAAGCATAGTTTTCGGAGAAGACAATAACAGAAATCCTCGATTCCTCAATTGCCTTGAGAAGCGCTGATGATATTTCCTCTCCTCTTTTAAGCGCCTCGTTGTCTATGAAGGTTTTGATTCCCTTCTGAACCAAATTGTTGTACAGATGACCTACAAAGTTGTTGCGAGTATCCTCGCCTCTAAAACTGAGGAAGACATCATATGTCCATGAATGGGTGTCAGAAGACGACGAAGAGCTAGGAAGAGGCTTCTCCATTGGTCGTTGAATCCATGTCAAAGACTGATCATCTATCTCTTGTGTTATATTAAGGCCTCTTTTCTTGACTTGACATAGGGGAAGCAGTTTCCTTGCCATCTTCCATGTTGATCTAAAGTCAAGGAAATTATAAAGTAGGTGGCTAGTTCATTTTTTATTTGGCTAGTTTTTCAAAAAGACAAACTTTGACGTAGTCCTATTATGTAGTATTAGGATCTAGTAATATTCTTTTTTATTTGTAAGTGAGAAGTCTCAAGTTCAGTTTCCGTAGATGGCGAGTTTGATTCCACATCATTATGCATTCAATTGTGTGGCTTATCGCAATTTGGATTTTATCATGTCATTAAGAACTATTATATGCAAGAGTACACAAAACTATGTTTAGGAATACATATGTGTGTGTGTGCGCGCGCGTGCATATCATCAGTTATCACCAAGGCACAAAGCGATCCATAAACAAACACACAGTGTCTTCTGAAAGCGAAGAAGAGTCCAAGTCCCTCTGGATCTGAACCATCCTGTAGCTCCTCTCCTTTCTTGCTTCCTTAAACTCTCGTTGTTCTTGCTGTTGTTGTTCAGCTTTCGATGACAACACCAATCGCTTCTTAGCGCCTAACTTCTCTTTCAGCTTATTCAGCTCGCTCATCCACGACTCTACCACTGCAGCCATAATTTGGAACTACTTGAATGCTTGAAATATGCGGCCTACTTTTCTGTACTGGTTTTCTGGTTTATCAAAGCTAACGAGGAGAGCTGGCTATATGCCTCTAGGGTTTATATAGAAGAAGAAGAAGTTGTGGCCTTCCTCCGGTTTGGAAGAAAAATCAGTGTGTGCCATGGCCGTTGGATATACGGTCGCACACAGGATATAAATTTAGGGATATTCGATGGGAGGAGGGACAGAGAGAGAGAGAGCGGAGACGTGGGTTATTTCAGCAAGTGAATGAAAAGCGTCCCCGTGGGCGCACAGCACTTGTTTGTTTAGATTGTGGGAGACTTGGCCAATTGGTATTCAATGTGTTCATCAATTAGATTTCTTTAAACCAACTCCAAGGGGTTAAAACCTAAATTTTTATTTTAGAAAATTATTATTTTGAAAATTCTAGCCTAGCGCCGCCTAGGACCCGTCTAGGCGTTAGACGGTTGGCCACCACTCCTATTAATCCCTAGACGTTTGTAAATTACGAAATGGTGCTTAGACATGCTTAGGCGTCCACTTAGTCCGACTAAACCCACATAATCGCGACTCTTACTTAGATAGAAAATAGATAGCTTTTGTTTTCCATTTTATTTTATAAGACACTTGTTGAATACTTGAATGAACACTCATTATACTCTACTTCTCCGTGTTTTCAATATGTTGTAATATTTTTGACTCTATATGTCATTCTATTTTTCAGTTTATGTATTCCTATACAATGTGTATTTTTTATTTATTGATTTTTTTTTTAACAAACGACATTATTACACTAAAGGGAGGGAGGTGAGCTTAGCCTTACAATGAGCTAGCAATAATGTGGTTCAAATTCTCCTTTGGTGAAGAGTCTTAGGTTCGATTCTTACTAAAGACGAATTTGAACCGCATTATTGTTAGCCCATTGTAAGGCTTAGCCACTCCCTTAATTACTGTAGATAATCTCATTTGTTAAAAACACACTTACATAAAAAACATATAATAAGTTTACTTAAATCCTCTTAGGCCCTTATCTAGGCGCTAGACTCCAATACATTGCCTAAGTCGCATCTAACATCTTTTAGAACCTTGCATGTAACGACCCATTTCGAAAATACCCCTATTGACGAGAAGGTTGACTTTCGTCCTTGGATACGTTATAATTTCTCGTTTATTTTATTTCCACAATTCTTATCAATATGAACGCGTAGGCACGATCGAAATCAAATTTAGAGTTAAAACGAAACTTCCACAATTTTTAAACTACAAGGGCAAATTGGTAATTTCGCATGTGGAGAATTTCTCCCCACTTTGAGCCTCTACATGGCTGGGACGTGGCACTCCCCCTATCTCTTCTTCTTCTCTCCCGTGACCTCTCCCTCTCTATAACTCTCACTCACACTCTCTCTACCCTCTCCTCTCCCATCTGACGAACACACACACTCACATACACAGACTACAACCACGATCACACCATCATCTGGACCTTCTTCTTCCTTCCCTCACCTCCCTCTGACTCTCTCTCCCTCGTTACACAGTACATTCACTGTGCAAAAAGTAGATCCGGCGAAGGTCCTGGCTATTTTCCGGCCGACCCCGACCTGAACTCGATCTCATCTTGGTATATTCATGTTCCTTATCTTCATATCTTTATTTTGGTTGTTGAATCATTGAAAATGGTCTGAAATTGAGCTCGAGCGGAGCTCGGGAAGGGCTGCCCAGATTGTGGCCGAACCTACGGCCTGGAACCGGGTCGACCCGACCCGTGACCCTTCGGCCCAACTCTAAACCCAGCCCAAAAATTTGGGCCTATATAGCCAAGCCGAAAACAGATCCAGGCCCAAACCTAATTCTAAAACCGGCCCATCCACCTATTAGCCCAGGCCTAATACATTAGGCCTAAACCAAAGCCCAAAACCCAAATTGAGAACCGGTCCAATCCACAAACCAGTTCCACGGTCGGTGCGCAGCTGTGAATGGGTGCGCGTGGAGCACACGCGCCTCCGCCGGCCAAAAAAATTATCATAGATGGCAGGTAACCCAGCCCAAAAAAATTTATGGTAACATGGCAAGCCTCTGATAACAAAAGAACAATTGAAAGCTTGATTGGGAACTGGTAAATAAGCACCAGGAGCAATTCATTGAAAAATCCACAAACTGAAAACTAACATTCAGCCTCCTTTATCATCATCCACAGTTTCAATTCAAAAGAAGTAGATATAACTGGCAAGTCTTTGAAACTGTTCAAAAGAAGTAGATGTAATTTGTGCCAAGTAGAGACACGAGATGGAATCATGGTAATCGATTTTAATACAAAGAACGGTTTTGGAAGGAAAGAAATACAGATAGAGACGAATCATATACCTCCTAAGCAAGTGTTTGTAAAGACCACCTAAGATAGCTGAAAGTGTCAAAATTTCCTTGTTTAACGAATCTCGTATGCATAAGCTACCTTAATTGGCATCCACATTTTCACCTCAAGAGATATAATTCCACACTTAAGAAACAAGGATATAGTATGTGTTAATTTAAGTTTGCAATAAGTCTCTTATAATTTATTCAAAAAATATATCAAAAAAACCGTGGCGTACGGCCATACGGACCCAAAATACGAAGAAGCTGATCCAACACAATAAGAATAAGAATTTGCAAACTATTTCAAACTTCTTCTGCAAACACGTCATCCTGCTTATCTGAGTTTCCGGCTGCCTGAAATCTTGTGCCTGCATCGCCAAACCAATCAGTAACACAGCATACATAAGAAAACGAATCCTACAAATCTTCCAGCTAAGAAAGCGAGGGCGGAAGCAGCACCTTTGAAGGACTGCGATCCCGATCTCGGTCTCGGTCTCTCTCGAATTGCTCGCGATCGAGGACAGGAGCAGATCCAAGTTCCAAAAAAACCGAACTGGATTGTTTGACACGAGACTTTGTTCCAACTGGATACTTTGCCACATTCAAATGGGTACTATCTAAAACTTGGACCGAAATATCTTCAACAATTTTTTGAATAAATTTATATTCAGGCCTACAAGTTTAAAAGCATAAAATAGAACATTATTATAATTAAACTAGAAGAAATCCGTGGATGTTACATGTAAACAATATTTCAAGTGCAGACAGAGAACTCTACTTAAGAAAAAGAAAGTCAAAACATTTGGACTAAATCAATAATATTAGATCATGCTAGAAGAAACCCCTGGATATTCTACGTAATAGTAAGATACTAATCATAAAAAAAACAATAATAAAAATTCTTTTTATGACAAAATTGCCTCTGCACTATTTTAGGCATTCGATTCGGCTGGTTTTGAACTTTTTTGTTTGGAAAAACGGGGGGGGGGGGGGGGGGGGGGGGGGGGGGGTGGGGGGTGGGGTGGCGGCATTTGTGTTCCATTCTTTTTGGTGAAGTCCGTGACCCCAAATGGGTTGTTGACATTATATATTAAGTATAGATGAATGGTGTTTAGCTATGCGTTGATAAATTTTATAGGCCAAACATGATTTACCATCAAGATTACCAATAGGGTCTCAATTTAATCTCCTACTACTCGGTATTAGATTTTACTACAAAATTTCTCTATTAGGAGTGCAAACTCTCATATATTTGTTGTATATTATTTTATCATATGACCGATGTGGGATTATATTCTCCAATATGTGTCATATGACCGATGTGGGATTATACTACAAAAATTCTCTATTAGGAGGGCATAACAAGTTTTCCTATAATATTGTGAGGGAATAATATCAAAATATTATGAAAATGCTAAGGATAATTTCTCAAAAGTGACACTCTCTATGAATTTTTTGCCACCTCATTTTTTGCCACACTAATTTATAATGTTAGTTCTCAAAAGGGAACTAACATTAAACTATGAGGTGTGAGAGAGCTCATGAAGAGAGTTCCACTTTGAGAGGGTTTCCTTAGCATTTCTCAAATATTATATATTTATGTTAGTCTTTTTAACTAAAATAGTTGCTGAAATTGTTATAATTCTTCATTTTGGTCACTGAAATTTAAAATCGATAAAAGTGATTCTTGAGAGTGTCCACCGTTAATCACTTTGGTCATTTTGTAAGAAATCTTAGCTAAACTTGAGAAACCACCAGTTCAAGCGAAGTGATTGATTTGACAAAAATACACTCAATTTAACAAAGATTTTTTTTTACGGAATAACCAAAATGATTGACAATGGACAATCTCAAGAATTGCTTCTATCGATTTTAAATCTTAAAGAATAAAGTAAAGAGTTATGCTCTTCTCAGAAAAACTATTTTGGCTAAAAAAACCTTCATATTATGCTTATGAATTGAAGCTTATTAGTACATAGAGGTCAGAAAGATACCCGTCGGCCAGGAATGACCAGCCAGACAAATTTGCTGCTTTTGTAAGAGTTTCTCTCCATCTCAACACCTTGTCCATGTTATCTTTGAGTTTGCTTTCATGGTCAGCAAGTGCCTTACCGAAACTCTTTCTTTGGTTCCTCACATCGGATGGATCCACCTTGTAAAAAACTGGAAAAACCATCTGCTGCAGTTGTTCTTTACAGTGAAAGATGTGAACGAGTTCATCTAAGCACCAGTGTGAGGAAGCGTAGTTTTCGGAGAAGACAACAAGAGAAATCCTTGACTGCTCGATTGCTTTGAGAAGCGCCAACGATATTTCCTCTCCTCTTTGAAGCGCCTCGTCGTCTATGAAGGTTTTGATTCCCTTCTGAACCAAATTGTTGTACAGATGACCTACAAAATTGTAGCGGGTATCCTCTCCTCTAAAACTGAGGAAGACATCATATGTCCATGAACGGGTGCAAGAAGAAGACGAAGAGGAAGACGCTCCTTCCTTGGTCGTTGAATCCATGATCGTTCGATTGCTAAAAAGGATGAGATGCTGAGAGAATAAATGTCAACGACTGATCCATCTCTTGTGTTATGAACTTATGATAAGGCCTGTTTTCTCAACTTCACAATATGCGAAGCAGTTTCCTTGCCATCTTCCACGCTGACCTGGTCAAGGAAATTATAATATGCATTGGCATGTTCTAGGAAAAACCTGAATTGAAATTTAAAACTTTGACCATTCTTCCAACAGTCATAATACACATGGCATTGGCAAGTTCTAGGAAAAATCCTGTATCGAGACTTTTCAATCCAAATCATACGCATGCGTATAAAACTATATGCACATTAGTATTTCTGAATCATGACATCAACATAGAACATTTCTAGCATCGTTTATCGGGTGACATTATTGTGTAAATCATTTTGCTTTCCCTCTCCCACCTTTTATTGCATTTACTGTACCGTAAGCTTTAGCATCTTGTAAGTCATAACCACATCAAGCATTTGGCCTCAGTGGTATCTTCCTGGAAGATGAGGATGATGCAGGGAGAGCTACACTTGATCACTTTGGGTGTGAATTCGACGGTGGTTGTCACCTGGGCTTTTGCTTCAAAAGACCAGAGACTGAAGCACAGTGTGTTGAGTTGTAAGTGCATTTCTCGCAGCACGCTTGCAGCTGTTCAATGACTTTCCAGCACCTGCCAAGTATCAGCACTAGTTACAAAGTAAAACATTAACATAAAAACAGATAAACATTAAAAGCACATAGTGCATTAGAAGCATCATAAACGCATAACATTAGACGTTACATTAACATATCCCAGCTTTCAGAATGCAAATGCTACGAAAAGGACAGCTTACATGCTCCAAATGTGGAAAATTCAACTTGACTAGGAGGCCTTAAAATCCATGTACTCCAATGATGTAGTGAAAGGTGTTGCATCAATTACAGAACTTTTGGTCCGCTTTTATGGATAAGGCATATAGAAGGAAATATGTATGAAGACTAAAAAAGGATAGCTGGAAGAGAATGCTCTGAGTAAGGTCATAACTAGTGAATGTGACCTCAGATTACCACACCCGGTTCCCATGACAGCAATTAAAAAATGGATTCAATATACCCGTCAGATTCATCACCTAGCTATTACGATGCACATCATCATAGCCCAAATTCAAATTTATGGTAACATGGCAAGCCTCTGATAACAAAAGTACAATTGAAAGCTTGATCGGGAACTGGTAAATAAGCACCAGGAGCAATTCATTGAAAAATCCACAAACTGAAAACTAACATTCAACCTCCTTTATCATCATCCACAGTTTCAATTCAAAAGAAGTAGATATAACTGGCAAGTCTTTGAAACTGTTCAAAAGAAGTAGATGTAATTTGTGCCAAGTAGAGACACAAGATGGAATCATGGTACAAAGAACGGTTTTGTAAGGAAAGAAAGATAGAGACGAATCATAAACCTCCTAAGCAACTGTATGTAAAGACCACCTAAGATAGCTGAAAAATTTCCTTTCATTACCTGTGTTTAAAGAAAAAGATGGCAATTTCTGTTTCCGGTCATGTTTCCTTGTTTAACGAATCTCATAGGCATAAGCTACCTTAATTGGAATCCACAGTTTCACCTCAAAAGATATAATTCGACACTTAGTTGATCTTAAATATAAAGAAATACAGAGACAAATTTTATACCTCTTAAGCCACTGTTTCTAAGACCACCTAACAAAATCAATTTCCTTTAACTAGTTATGTTGACAGAAAAAGATTGAAACTTCTGTTTTCGGTTATATTTCCTTGTTTCAAGAACCTAATGCAAAAAATCTCATATGCATAAGCCAAGGGAACAAACAAGATGTGAAGTTAAGATAGAACTTCAAGTCACTACAGCTGGACTGTATCCACAGGTATCGGTACAATTCCTCCTCGTTGGAGATCATAGATTTACCTCCATGGTGCTAAAAGAAAGTTTTGTCAAGAAAACCGCTTGTGGAAACTGTTTGGGTGCGTTTGATAGGGAGGATTAGCTTGGGTAGCATAACTCACTAGATTCAAGGCATATTTAAGGGAAAAATGGAACACAACTCCCAAATTTGTCCAAGGTGAATGTTGAAGACGATGATCAGAGAGGAAAGTTTCCCCATCTAATCCTACCCTTTTGCGGGTATGTCTTCTACCTTCAACTTGGATATGCCTTGAATCTAGCAATTATCCCATCCAACCCAATCATCCCTAACAAACACACCCTTACCGTCTAATCGTATAAATTGAAAAGAGCCAGATTATATATATTTTTTTTTAAAGCTCAGGAAACAGTAAAACAAACAGAAGTTGTAAAGCAAGCAGCCAATCACAATGGTAAAACCCCTGAGCAGCTAGATATCAAATCACAATGCATTTTATATTAATTGCAATACGATGGAGAAATAAACAAAAATTGTTCTTGAATGAAAAGATATTCGATTCGACCCATGAATTTTAAAGCTTCACTCTTGGGAAAGAAAATGGAGATGGTAGAAATGTTCCTCTATTTTTTCGGCAACCAAACAATGTTTTCTCGGAAACCAAACAAGTGATACAGATAATAATAAAGAGAAGAGGAGGAAAAAGAGGACGGAGGGGCGTACTTTTGAGGGAGGAAGTTCTTCTTGGAGAGGCATGCTTGAATGTTGCAGGCTTCTTTCTTGCAGGGCTCTTTGCTTTCTTGCCGCGCCATCTCTCTTTCTCTGAAGCATTCGATCGTCGGAAATGGCAGCTCCTGCGGTTTCTAATATTTATTGAAGTCTCGGCGACGGACCGACCTTCCCAGGTGTGCCGCTTCTGTCATGGACTAGAAATTTTTTTATTAGGATAGGAATACGGAATGATCACGTTTTTTTATGTAAGTAGAAAAAAAATTTATTTTTTAAATTATTAATTTTTTAATATATATTTTATTATTTATATAATAATATGTAGTGTACAGTTTATGTTTTAGTCTTATTGAAAAATCTCTCCTTTGAATTATTCGTTTTCTTTGGGAACACTCGGACTCGGTCGGACTCAAACCGATTCGATTTTGGAGATTTTATTTATGATCCTCTACTTCCACAAAATTTCTAATTTTACCTTCTATATTGTGTCTCATTTTACTTTTTTCTATCATTTATATCCCGAATTACTTTATTATATCATTTGGGTTGGTAGATTTTTTACTTTTGTTGAAATTGTGTCAGTTAGAGTTGTCATGGAGGGAGTTTACGCTAATTTTAGCAGGTGTTGGTTTTGGTGTGTTTTTCTTACCAATGTAAATTTTGTGAACTTTAGTAAAGGGTAGAGGGTCATTGCGAAAATTGAACCATTTTCGAATCATTTTCACTTAACAGCCATTATGATGTGAGTCTAAAATAACAAAGCTAAGGTTATTTCCAACTGAGCCGGCCAAATGACTATATGTCAAAATATAATCCGTTTTGACACAAAATTCATTTTTGATAAAGGGCTGGGCCAAAAAAATTTGAGACCCACTAGGCCGAAATATGTCTTTACTGTGCTTTGCAACTCCAACTTTTGACCCAAATGTAATGGGATGGATTGGAATTTTATTGAGATGGTGTGGATTTGATTCAAATTACCAAGCCAATAGTGCATAACGGGGTCTGTTTCAAAATACATAATTGTATTGACATACATACATTGTAAATTAAAATAACATAAATTATAAAGTATTAAAACATACCGAAAACATGATGAGCAACCATATAATAAATGTTCATTGAAGTATTCAAAAGTCCCTTCCATTTTATTAAAAAAAATGAAATACAAAATAAAAATTATTCTTTTTTTTTTTTTTCGCGAGCTCCATAGGGTAGGCATACGCCTATTTACCTCCCACTACTACTATAACCAAGGTTCTAAAAGACGATAGATGCTAGTTGGGTGGTGGATTAGAACCTAGCGCCCAGGTGACTAGGGGGGCACCTAAGCGAACTAGACGGATTTAAGTAAATCTATTATATTTCGTGTAAATAAATGTTTGCTTATACTTAAAATATATATTATTTCATCATAAACTACAAAATAGAATGACATATATATGATGAAGTATTGGAATATAATGAAAACATAGGAAACAAGGATATAATGTGTGTTAATTTTAAGTATGCAGCAAGTCTGTTACAATTCATTAAAAAAATAAAATAAAATGCAAAATGAAAATTATCTATTTTCTATCTAGGTGAACCTGACCTAGGCATATCTGGATGAGCTAAACAGATGCCTAGTCGATTTAGGCAAGCACCTGGATGTCATTTCTTAATTTCAAACGCTAATCAAGCGAGTTTCCAAAAAAAACGCTAAAAAAACCCAGGCGTGCGGCGAGACGGACCCAAAATACTACGAAGATGATGCAATACAAAACGCCTAAGAATTTGCAAACTATTTCAAACTTCTTCTGCAAACACTTCCTGCTTATCGGAGTTTCCGGCTGCCTGAAATCTTGTGCCTGCATCGCCAAACCAATCAGTAACACAGCATACATAAGAAAGCGAATCCTACAAATTTTCCAGCTAAGAAAGCGAGGGCGGAAGCAGCACCTTTGAAGGACTTACCACATTCAAATGGGTACTATCTAAAACTTGGACCGAAATATCTTCAACAATTTTTTGAATAAATTTATATTCAGGCCTACAAGTTTAAAAGCACAAAAAAGAACATTATTATAATTAAACCAGAAGAAATCCATGGATGTTCCATGTAATCAATATTTCAAGTGCAGACAAACAACTCTACTTAAGAAAAAGAAAGTCAAACATTTGGACTAAATGAATACTATTATATTAGATCATGTTAGAAGAAATCCCTGGATATTTCACGTAATAATAAGATACTAATCATAAAAAAACCAAAAAAAATATTCTTTTTATGACAAAATTGCCTCTGCACTATTTTATGCATTCGTTTCGGCTGGTTTTGAACTTTTTTGTTTGGAGAGAAGGGGGGGGGGGGCATTTGTGTTCCATTCTTTTTGGTACAAAATTTCCTACTAGTCGGTATTAGATTTTACTTTATTAGGAGTGCAAACTCTCATATATTTGTTGTATATTATTTTATCATATGACCGATGTGAGATTATACTCTCCAATATGTGTTTGCTTCACATACTAATAATGAATAACTTAAACAAGTTTTCCTATAATATTGTGAGGGAATAATATCAAAATATTATGAAAAATGCTAAGGATAATTTCTCAAAAGTGATACTCTAACTTTTTGCCACCTTATTTTTTGCCAAAATATTTTATAATGTTGGCAATGGAACTAACATTAAACTATGAGGTGTGAGAGAGCTCATGAAGAGCGTTCCACTTTGAAAGGGTTTCCTTAGCAGTTCTCAAATATTATATATTTATGTTAGTCTTTTTAACTAAAATAGTTGCTGAAATTGTTAGAATTTTTCATTTTGGTCATTGAAATTTAAAATCGATAAAAGTGATTCTTGAGAGAGTCCATTGTTAATCACTTTGTCATTCTGTGAGAAATCTCAGCTAAATTGGAGAAACCACCAATTCAAGTGGAGTGATTGATTTGACAAAAATACATTCAATTTAACAGAGATTTTTTTCATGGAATAACCAAAATGATTGATGATGGACAATCTCAAAAATCAATTCTATCGATTTTAAATCTTAAAGAACAAAGTAAAGAGTTATGCTCATCTCAAAAAAATCATCTTGGCTAAAAAAACCTTCATATTATGCTGATGAATTGAAGCTTATTAGTACATAGAGGTCAGAAAAATACCCGTTGGCCAGGAATGACCAGCCAGACAAATTTGCTGCTTTTGTAAGAGTTTCTCTCCATCTCAACACCTTGTCCATGTTATCCTTGAGTTTGCCTTCATGGTGGGCAAGTGCCTTACCGAAACTCTTTCTGCTTTCATTACCTGTGTTTAAAGAAAAAGACGGCAATTTCTGCTTTCGGTCATGTTTCCTTGTTGAACGAATCTCGTATGCATAAGCTACCTTAATTGGCATCCACATTTTCACCTCAAAAGATATAATTCCACACTTAATGGATCTTAAATATAAAGAATGATTTGATGTGGAGAGAAATACAGAGACAAATCTTATACCTCTTAAGCCACTATTTCTAAGACCACCTAACATAGAGACAAATCGATTTCCTTTAACTAGTTATGTTGACAGAAAAAGATTGAAACTTCTGTTTTCGGTTATACTAGAAAATGTGCCCGCGCGATGCCGCGGGACTTGAATACATGATGTTGAGCTGTATGATGAAGATATGTTTTATTGGAATAAATTTAACACTATGAAGAATGAAGAGAGGGATAGATGAGTGAATGGGGTTGATAAGATATGTAGTTTTGTTTTTATATACATTCAACTTAACTGATGTGAAAAGACATTGATCAATTAACAGAACGAAACTGAACGTTTTGGTTCCTTAATAAGCAGAAGTAACATGTAGTTTACACAAATGTTGGCCTTGTAGTAAAGGTGGCAAAATAGATGTCATTTAAGTTAGGCACATGTTTGAGCAGTTGACAAAACATATAAAAACTGTTTTGTTCTTATTCTAGCATCATAGTTTTGAAGCACAAACGCGCAAAGTAAAAACTATGCAAGATGTTTGTTTCCTTAAGAAACAGGAGTAACATGTTGTCCACACATATTTTGCCATTACATTTAAGATGGCAAAATATGTCTTGTAGGTTGGTTATCTATTTCAGTAGTTACCAAAAAACAAAAAGAGTGTTTCGTTGTTGTTGAAGCAGTCAAGTCCTTAAGCTAAAATGTTGAAAGGCAAAAAGATGTAGAAAGCCTTGCTGCAGTCGATCACGGAGATTGCGGTGTTAACTATTTCTGAGAGTGGACATCTTCCGCACTATAACAAAGAATATAAATCATAGTTTAACAAATGCTACCATGATGTTTGTTATGTAGGTGTATGCTGGAAAAACAAATTGTAATTTACCTATCTTTGGTTTTTTTGGTTTGAGATTTTGTTTTGAGTGTGGCTATCGGCACTTTGTCTGCTGGTTCAATTTTGGGGACAACCAGATTGTGGAATTCTTTAGCAATTCTAGCAGAATTGGTTGTGTCTGCTTGGTCGCTGCGAGGTTTTTTGCTGTCAATGAAGGTACACATTTATAAGGTTAGAGAACATCTAAGGAAGGGAGAATGGGACCAGTGAAAGTAAACATAAAAACTGAAACACCCCCATCTCTCTGCAAATCTTACAAACAAAATCCCAAACGTAATCCTTGAAATCCAAACAGACCTAATTCAGAAACCGTTTCTCTCAGACACCCCATACCATAGAAAATGCACCCTACACCCCAAACATAATGCTCAGTGGCCAGATAACAATCAGTGCAGGTTGATCAAGATAGCACAACAATCCTCTAAAGGAAAACAAACAACGAATTGACTTCAAGAAGAATCTGTATCATTTATTCAGTGAAGCACCCAGAGTTGGAAAAGAGTAAAATTTAAATTGAAAAACAATAATCTAATAGAGACAAATTTATAACAGAAAACCATTAGAATCTTTACAGAAACCAACAAAAATGGCTGCAAGTTAAAATTCTTAAAATTTGATATTTGGCTTTAAATTTCCCTAATGTTTATAATAGTTAGTGAAAACAAAATTGGACACATCAGTAAGAATACACCAAAGTTAATACACCGTTGTAACACGTTGCAATCATTAGTGCATGTATATAGAGACACATCTGAGATGGGAAAAAAGCCCAAAAAAAAAAACAATTGAAAACACTGCAAAATTAATATATAAAAGCAAATGAGTGCTGCTTCACCTATCTGAAATGAATGAAAGGCTTTACTGAAATGAAAGCCTACCAGGTGGAAATAGAAATAAACTATATAGTTGGGTCTTGTACATGGTTAGATCTTTGGTGTTCGGGAATTATGCTAAAAGGCAGACTAATCAAATGATTACGCTTAGAACTATAATGTTTGAATTTTTAAAAACTGTTAACTGATTGAAAAACCACACCATTTAAAGAATCGGTGGAGTTCAGAATAAGTATGAAATACTGCATAGATAAATGAACAGGCATTTATATAATTTTTTTTCTCAGCATGGCAGCAACAATCAGAAAAAGAAAAGGAGAAAATGTATGGGATAAATTTAAAGTCTATTTGAAAGGTTCAATATATTTGTTTGTCCTTGCGGCAAGAAGTAAAGAAACATGGAAATTAGGTTGATTTCTTCTGTGTTAGAATTATTGATGCAGTGAATGCAGCACGGCCTTCCAGTGTTAAAATTATTGATACAGGTACAAAAACAACAAAAAATCATGTGCAATCGAATCAAGTGTTGAAAAAGCAAAGAAGAAGTAGATGTTCATTATGAAACCTATAGTAAGAAAAAACAGAGCTCAAATATGTTGGCTTGTTTTGCAATAGTATAGCTAGTAAGAATGCAAGTGGAAGAATTGTTCTGAAGAGAAATATATAATCAAAAGCAACTAAAAGTAAGCTATTGGAAGAAATTTAGAAACTCACAAACACCAGCACTAAGTCAGACGCAAGCTCAACACAATTTAAATAGTAAAAATTCAAATATATATATATATATATATATATATATATATACACACACATATATGCTCTTGAATTGAGAACTTCATCAAAAGCATATATACATATATGCTCTTAAAACATAACAAACCAATAAAAAAAAAAGAGTTAAATGGAATCCCATGGTCAATGGGGTATCAAATTGTAAACACTATAAGTCTAAAATTGTAGTATACCTAAGAGAAGCATGGTTTGGAAGATTTACACATGAGATTTTAAAGCAAGAGAAAACTTTACCTGTCAGATTTGTCCGCTTCATTAGGAAACAATGCTCTTTTTGAAGTCTTTGTGGGTGCAACTAACTGGGGTTGTTGATTTGGTCGGTGAGAAGGCATCACTGGGCTGGGGGTCGCTTGAGTCATAATATGTGTTCCTACGGAGGGAGTAGGTGTTTTTGGTATGACTAAGGCAATTGTTGGGCTCGAAAGCGGTTGATCTTGGAGTAGTCCATGAACTATGAAGTCTGTCTTTCCAAAGTCAGTGTTTTGATTTCCAAAAGAGAGCTGAAATTGTTTTGTTGTGCCGACCAAATTTTTTAGAGTTGGTGGAAGTATGAAAGGATCCTCATGTCCATCTTCTATCACCAGAGTGTGGCAAGAAACACGAAGTATTTTTTCGGCATGTCTTCCTATCATGAGGAAGTTGTGCTGATTTGTGCTATCTTCCACAATAAGATCTATTTTGAACCTAGGTAAGATGAGGATATTTGGTTGTTAGGAAAACAATACTGGTAATAGCAATCTTGTGGGTAATGTACCAAATGCAATAGAACCACTGTAATGTAGGGTATGCATGTATAAAATGGATAGAAAGACAAATTATTTAGAATTAATTTACCTCACATCAACATATTGTGCAGAATGAGAAGTGTATGTTTGAAAGTTTTGAGTTAATCAATCATGGAACAACATTATAAGTTGATTTTAGCTGCTGGCTCTATAAAGTAGAAGCACAAATGGAAATGATGGTTCCCAAAGTGTGTAAAACATAGTTTAACAATTAATATGATGTTCAAAAGTTGTGCACTGGAAGTTTAGTTCCAAACTAATGAACATGTGTAAATATGAATAAGCACGACTAAAACACATAAAATAAGGATGAGTGCAACCCAATGACATAGAAAATAGATTGTTGTAGGCTACAATTCTTAATTGGAACAAATTTAAAAGGATATTTGACAATGGTCCTATTTAGAATCACAGCTGTTAAGCAGAAAGTGATAACCAAAGAAGAATTTTCGAAATGATTGTTGAATGAATTTTTTATAGCAAGGCCTGTGATGCACACCATAGGGGCATCCTTTGTATGGATGAAGGATCATTTATGTATTATGTAATCCTTGGGGAGACGACTTATTTGTCATAATCGCAAGATAATAAAAAAGGATTCAGCAACGTATTATAAGCATCATATGTAAAATAGGGGTAAAAGTATATTACCATGGTTCGGGTAATCTGTTTATGAACCCATGTTCATTGCACTCAAACGATTCAGAGTTTTTCTTGACAACTTTATGGCAAGACGGGCATGATTTGTACCACCAGCCCTTAGTCAAATCGAATTCAACAATAGTTGCTTGGCATACGAAACTTGCATTCTGTTATGGAAACATGAGGTTTTGAAATTAACTTTGCAAACATGGAGTATAAACAGATAGAGAAGCAAAGCAAGAGATGGTCAAGTTAGATGCAGCACGAAAATCTATTAGTAAAAAGAGGTGATTTCAGTGAATAGTTTGGTGATGACAAACTAACCTTGTGCAAGGCAGGATCAAGTAAAAGCAATTCGTCAATTGTTTTTGACTCAGTAGTAGCACTGACTGCACGGCCCGTATACATCTCAGCTGAGGTGGGCAGGATTTGAAGAGGTGATCTGCTATGCTTAAACCTGTTTTGTGCATGTTTAGGGTGAGAAAAATTAATCGAAGAAATATAAACGAAAAAGTTATTAAAGAAGGGTTGTTGATTTACTTGTGTTTGTATTCAGAGAGTTGTGGAATCTCTGGATTGAAAACACAAACGGTTGATCCTGTGCTTCCGAGAACAGGTTTTCCTGTAAATATGAGATAACAATTAACAAACTGAAACTTTAAGTAGTTAGATAATGTATGGCAGGGTATAACCTTGGTATTGTTTTACTTTCAGGCTTGTGAAAGCACAAAATACGGGTGGCAAAAGTTCTTGTATTCCACTGCTCTCAAAACCTGTTGCAGCCTCTCCCCATAAGGTTATTCTCACTGTTTCGTCTCTGTAAGTAATACAAAAGATGATGGTTTGGTATATGTCATAAATAGGGTGGCATATACATAATATTTAGAGTTTAACATAAATAGAAATTACCTAATGTTTTGCAAGTTTAGATTTCTCTTCTTTGCAACTCTTGTGTTCTGGATAGTGATTTCTTCAGTTGGCTGCACAGCCGTTAGGCAACCAAACACATCTACATATAATATTTAATGGGAGGAATGAGTGGACACTGAAGGCAACAAAAACATATAAATGATCAACTTAGATGTTTGAGCGGCACTTGAAACTAAATTTGTTACCTGTAAGCTCAACATCGTTGTCGATTCTCTGATGAAGTTGATTAAGCTCAATTAAATTGAACCAGTGCATTGGGAGTTCTTGACTTGTTTTGTGAATAGGAACGATTGTGGTTTTCCTATTCAATTCAATGATAGCTGCATGAGGGACAACCTTGCTTGATCTCTTGTTGTGAATGACACGAAATTTGTTGATTTCATATGCATTGCCGACACTTAGACGGTCCAAAAAAAATTGGATGTCTCGACCGTTGATGGTTCCGTGAACCGCATCTCTCTTTTAGAAGGAGAATTTTAAGATTAGACATAATACTAAATGAGTGGGATAACATTTAATGCATATAGTTTAAGAATCACGTAAACATGCAATATAGTCTAGTTGTGACTACTTAGATAGCATTTAAGATCATATGCAAGATAACAGTGGAGATTATTCAAAGAATCAAATCGGTAGTAGTTGAAGCAACCTTGCAAAATGACATTTAGTTTGATTTGTATAGGTTAAAAAACAACGAAGAAAAATTAAGGAAAAGAACAAAATATAATATTTGTAGTGAAATCCAAAGATAGGAAAAGTGTGCATGGTGCACTGTGAATTTTTTTTTGTTTTTTTTGAACAAAATTTATTGAAAGCCATGCCATCATATGGAGAAAATAGGTTTTTCATTTGTTGTTTATCTGCATGAACTTTTTAACCCAGTATAAATTTAATGTTAAGCCCAAGATCATATCTAGTGAAACAATTAATTAGACAAATGGTAATTATGTAAGCGATGCATAATTGGGTAGCAAAGTGTATAAATCAGTTTCTTCGTGGAATTTAGTCTATGTTTGATTACAAAGTTTGTTGTATTGAGAACATGGCATGCACATTTGGATACGTAAAAATGCTAGCATTCAACGATAAGTAAGAAGGTGTAAAAATCTTACATCCTTATCAACGAAGACGCAATCAAGACTTATAGGTTGAGGATTGTCTCCAATGCTTTTCGTGACCCATATTCTGCATACCCTGATGTGGAGTTTGTTTGCTGGCTGGTATGGCGTCAGAAAACGAATTGCTTGCTCCTCCATTAATCTAGATATATAAACAATTTAGGAACAAATTAAATTCAAAATTGAATAACGTGATTTAACAAATAAGTAGTGAAGTCATGTTTACAAAAATAAACAAATGGACAAAATAATAATACAAAGTTATACCTTCTTGTAAATGTTTTAAAACATCTTTATAAACTATGTTTTTTGTATAACCGTAAGGCATGTCGCTATTGTGAGCAATAACGATTTTGAGACCCTTTTTTGAGGTGACTCTGGATAGCGCAACATATAGTTGTCCATGTGAAAAAACAGTTTGCGATAGATATAGGCCAACAATTTTTAAGGATTGTCCTTGGCTTTTGTTGATTGTCATCGCATAACAAAGTTTAAGGGGGAATTGTCGCCTTTGTAGAGTAAAGGGATATTTATGCTGAGATGATTCAGTAATTATCCTGGGGATATAAACTTTTTCACCAATGTTGCTTCCCGTTATGATTGTTGCTTGTATAATTCTGTCGTTCAATTGCATCACAACCAATCGTGTTCCATTACACAATCCACTGCTTTGGTTTAAATTTCTAAGCAACATCACTGGGGTGCCAACTTTCAAATCTAACTTGTGGTGCGGTAAACCAGGTAAATCAAGTTGGTTTAGAAATTCATTTGGATAAAGCACATCTAAATTTTCTAAATTTTCTGTTGAAGAAGTGACTGAATCAAAACTGAGATAGGTACGATTTTTGCCGGGCACCATACCCAACATAAAAGCGTTTATTTCAGTTGTTGTATCATTTCGTGGTGTGACAATAGCTCTTTCTTTCAAATATGGCACATCTCGGAAATTAGTTTTGAAATTCGTATACACAGCTGAAACCATAGCTTTGATAGGATCTTCATCAAAACGGATAAGGAATTGTTCTGGAATTTGAACCCAAGAGCTTTCTTCATTAGTTGAAGGTAAAGAGTTGGTAGCAGTATCGTTGCCAATGTCTAATATCCACTTTGCAAAATGAGCGAGTTCTTGTTTTTCTCTTTCGTCCAAACTTGGTTTCGAAAGCCTCATGTTTTGCTTCAAACAAAATTTTGTTAAATATGGCCAAAGGTATGAACTCGTCAATGAAGCTTCGACAATGTCAGCAACACTTCCGTTTGGAACAACAGGAAGAATTTGTCTGAAGTCACCTCCAAAAAGAATCGGCTTACCTCCAAATGGCAAATGGTCAAAACCTGGTTTTGACCCCTTAAGAACATCACGAAGGGACCTATCTAGGGTTTCAAAACATCGTTTGTGATTCATAGGGGCTTCATCCCAAATAATGAGAGCAGCTTCAGTGATTAGTTTTGCAAGATGAGTCCCTTTTTTAATTTCACAAACCGAGCAATCTGTGATGTTGATAGGAATTTTAAATCTAGAGTGAGCCGTTCTTCCACCAGGAAGTAAGAGGGAGGCAATTCCAGATGAAGCCACTGCTAAAACAATTTGATTTTGGGATCTAATTCTAGCCATGATGGTGGTCCACAAAAAAGTTTTGCCTGTTCCACCATGACCATGTACAAAAAACAGGCCAGATCTGTTGTTGTGAATTGTTTGTATGACACTGTCATAAACATATTTTTGCTCTTTATTTAACAGCCTGAATAGGTTTGAGTGCTCATGTTTTAGTGAGTCAACATTGTAATCTAACTCTTCCCTCAAACTCCTATTTGTAATTCTATCCATCATCAACTTGTTTGGTTGTGGTAGGTGATGCTTTGACAAAGAGCTATTCGAAGCAGCAAACAATTTCTCTAACTCGTACAAAAGTGAGTTTCTAAGTTGATCTTGGTACTTAGAGACATCTTGTAGGCCAAAAGCATTCATCATGTTTTTCGAAATGTCATCACACATCGTTTTCCAATGTGTTTCAAATAGAGTTGATGGATTAGCAACATTACAAAAGAGAACCAATGTGACAAACAATTGCCTTAATTGAAAGGATGACGCAGTGACAACCGCTTCTAACATAGCACTATTCCATTCCTTATCATCCCCTAATAATCCAAGTGAGGTGCATGCAGCTTGGAATGTGGGTTCAAGAATGCCTTTGACGGTCCTTAAATCATTAAAACTAAACCTGCCTTTTTGGTAATTTAATAGCAACCTCAAATAGTATAATTCACCCGCAGCAGGGTGAATATACGCAACCCTTCCTAGAGATCTACCTCTTTTTCTACGGGTCCACTGTTTTTCATCATTTTTCCAAACATACTTGGTAGGAAACTCAACGTAAGCTAACGTACGTGCATCAGGGTCTTGGACATTGGTTTGAAACCACTGTGTTAACATAGTGCTTTCAAGATTTGGGTGGTTAACAACATGGTTTAGATCAGCAGTCTCTCTAAAAACAACATTTTGGTCAGATGGAAGGTGTACAGACAACCTCTCAACCGATGGTTCTCTAAAATGAATGTGAAATTGTAACAATCTCCACACTGCTTCGTATGGGCATAAGTATCTACAGTTTAGGTAAGCCACAACCTCATCAAACTCGTCATCCTCAAAAACAGCTCTAGTTCGATCAACACCTTTAGTTATGTACTTAAAAAGATACTTAATGAGTGTTGATTGACAACATGATTCAACGTTTATATGTGCTTGATACTTCAACAATAGCTCACGGTTGTAAGGGACAACAAATGTATTATCTAGCTTGATTCCGTTTTTTAGAACAAACAGATTTTGTATATCTCGACGCTTATATGCAACGAAACCCTCTGTGGAAAAAGTGGTTTCACTTGTGAAAGATTTAGGAAATTTTTTTGAACATTTGTTTTCTTTCATGCAAGGTGAAAATTGATTCGCAACACCACATGGGCCGTGGATCATGTATTGCGAAACTGCATCATACCCAGCTTTGTCACGTTCTTCATCAGGAAGCTCAGCCGAAATGATAGAATCAACATCGTAAGGAGAATGACATTTATAATGTTGATTGACCCATAGCAAGATATGACAATGAGGAAGACCTCTTTTTTGGAACTCAACCGTGTAAATCACTGTTTAAAAAAAAAAAAATATGCAGGAGTATCAAAACCATAGACTCTTAGGACTTGCAGTGATAAAATAGAAACAAATAAAAGGAAAAAATTGGTCAACAATAAAGAACTAACCAGATTCGACATCGCCAAAAGGTTTTCCTGATTTGAGGTATTTAATCAAATGGTCAAGTTTTGCTTTAAAAATTCTGGAAATTAAATCTGGCCTGTCTTCAGCTTTACAACCAGGTTTATCACGCAGATCTTCAATAATTTCAGGCCATTTAGCATTGCATGTGAAAGTGATAAATAAATCAGGATTTCCAAGGTGGCGACATATAGCCATGGCATCTTGATAATTATTTATCATATATCTAACACTGCCAGTAAATGAAGTTGGGAGAATGACCCTTTTGCCAACAGAAGAACTGGTTGCATTTCCTGCTTTGAGCGCTTCATGAATTCCTTTAAGACCTTCTGTTCTAAAAGAATCTTGATTTGCCCTAATGAAATCTAACCTATCTTCTTCAAGTGTGGCATATGCATCAACTAAGTATTGTTGAAACAATCTGCCGCCTTTCAACAGGGTGTCACTATGTCCTGGTCTATCTTGAATTTGATAACCCAAAAATGCTCTCATTGATACCCCCCCAGTCTTTGGTTTTTTGCCCCTAAAATTTGGATTCCAAGGAAGACCTTTCCGGTACCCATCTTGACCGTATGGGAAAAGAAGAGGATATTGTAGAGCCATGTATTTAGGATGTAACTTTGTGATTCTTTGGAGGCCATCTGTCCTATGCTCCACAACAATATCTCTTTCGGTGTGAAATTGGCCAATGTCCCCAACTATTAAGCCACCTATCTCGTCACATGTTGGCAAATTGTATTGTACATCATGGTTACTCTGTGCACCGTACAAACGTAGACGTAAATTACTTGTGGACCTTTCATCAATTCTATCCCTGGCTTGCCTAAAAAGTTGAACAACCTCATTACACTCGTCTAGCATTTTAATGAGGCCACTAACAACCGTTTGATCGAGTTTTTCAGATGCTTCTGATCTGTTCAAACAACCGATACGATTACTGACTTCATTTTGAGTGTCATAAATGTAGAGCTGTGCAAATTTAGGATTGTCGCCTTCTGGAGGCAACAAAGAACCCATCAAATGATGCACTTGACCATTAATTTTAAAAACATATGGACCTCGACCTTTGTTGATCGATGGATCAACTTTGGCCCCCATTGAAGTTAATGCCATCATTGAATTATACGATCTAATATTTCTTTTAAACTGTAAAAAGCTTTGAGAATTTGTGGGGTTTAACAATTCATCCAAAAAAATGGGTGTGGGTTTAGCACGTGGGAATTGAACTTTTTGACTCATGCAACACGCAGTAAACTGCGGGGTAGAAATAGAAGAAGTACGCTCAGGATGGTTCTTTGTCTGCTCTGCAGACCAAAATAGAGCACTGCAATATTGACATTGGCAATTTCTTAATCCAAAATCAACATATTCTGGATCAATCCCTATAAAAACAATGAATAATAGAAGCATACATCAAACCAATTGATAGAAGTTAATTAACGAAGATAAGCCAAATTTTGAAATCAGCAGCAAAATGTAAACAAAGTTATATTGAAAGAGTGCATACTCTTTCTTTTTTTCTAATAGGTGGCCTGCCCAGTGATGAGCGGGTTTTTAACAGAATGAATAGTTGGAGCATCTTTGGCTAACAACCGGCGCATAGTGGCATGGTCAGCAAGAAAAAGGGGTACAGAAATTTGATGAGAACTTGTTCCAGCTGCTGAATGTGAGGTAAGAAGACCTCGAACAGGAGTATGTTGTTCAAAACTTGATGTAAATGTTTGGGGAGGGTTGTTTCCTTTGTTTAAAAATAGTAAAGAGGTTGAAGTATTGTTGTATTCGTCGTCATAACTGATGGGAACATCTTGTAATACGATATCATCAAGATTAACAACCGCAATAGATGTAGGCGAATCAGCACGCTCAGTTCTAGCGGCATTCCTAGATAGCCCTATTCTTCTAGACATAAATCTACATAAACGGAAAAAACCACAAAGCAATGGTTTACTTTCTAACAGAAGGAATGTGATGATGAAACAACTATCTTAACCATATGAAATGAGCGGTGAACCAAAACCCATTCAAGCAAGAGGTTATCAGTATCGCAAACACTTTGTTAACATAATAGTAAAAACATAATCCTAATCTTTTTAGATTAGAATGAAGAATAGAGACAATTGATTTGTAATTGCTTCCTTAAATAGTGTGGTTTGTCAGTGCAGAGTGGAAAATTAATGATTAAAGTGAATGATGATTGCAAAAAAATGGTGATAAAGGAAAGCAGCATAAATATTGAATAACGACGTTACTATGATCCAAAAAAGCATGCATAGACGATTGAACATGTAAACCGAGAAAAGAGTAACAATAAAAAATAAAAAGTTAAAGGCTCTTTAAAGGGACAAAAATCTAACCGTTGTAGAGACGAAAGCGTAGCTGTGAATGAATGCCACGAAAGAACAGTGCAGGACTCCAACGATAAAAACAAAACCTAGAGAAATAGGAAGACAAAATATAAACACATATATAATCAAAGAGAAGCCAAAGACAGAACAAACATCGAACTATAAAAACTAATGCACGGCTCAACGACATTAATATAAGACATGCATTTATAAATTTGATAGAAACAAACAAATTATTTAGGTTTGACTCACTTTAGACCGATAGATAGTGCAAGATGAAAAGTGTATATTTAAGAGTGTAAGCCCTTAATTTCCAACAATAAATATATTTTAACAGTCGAAGACGGAGTTGCACCTCACGTAGTTAATCAACAACATATGTAGAAACATTTGTGATGGATGCTAAAGGATATGCATCATTTGAGAGTTCGAAGATTAAAGCTTGCATTCAGTATATGTTAGATCCTGTAAACGTTGGAAAACTTTTTCATTAAATATGTTTAGGGAAACGTAGAAATCTATGATGCGATTCCATTGTTCCGTTTCACAAAGTTTGTAGGTTGGACTCTTATTAAACGGTGAGCTTGATACAAATTATTAATGATAGATATACTCTAGGATGTTTGGAGTTTAAGCACTACCACTTAAACATGTCAACAATACTCCAGGATGTTTTGAGTTTAAGCACCACCACTTAAACATGTCAACACGTCGATAAGTTGACTGGAACAACTTTATTTATAAGAAATAAAAATTGAAAAGAATCATGAAAAATCTATGATGGTGGAAAAAATGGATTGAAATCACTCCAAGGTAAGTAAACATAAGAAACATTTTATCACGGTCATAATTCAACTTGAAATTCCTGTCTAACGTGATGAACAACTTTGTATCCATAGCTGAAGACCCTAAAAATGTAAACCCCTAATCCATACTTTTAAATTGACACCCTCTAATAAAATCGTATCCAACTGTATGAATCACTTTGAAGTAGTTAAAAACCATTAAGTTGAGAAGTCATTAAAGATCCAAACATTAAAATCATTGTAGAGGAACAGTGAGGTGACCAATGTCGGCTGTTTTCACAGTTATCAACACAACTACGAAACCATGAGCATTAATCTTGCCACCTAGGCAAACCTCACCATCTCTAAACCCACCCTTTGCACACCGCAAGGACCTTTTCTATTTACAATTGTTGCATTGTTTGCATAATATGATGCCTTCCATATTCAAATAGTTACATACCAACCGAGAATAATAATATAAATTCGTCGCTCACCCCTTTTTCCCCATTTGAAAAACCACCCGAAAAACCACATTAATTACCATAGTTTTCAAGAATTCAGATATGGCTGCAAAGAATGAACTAACACAGCATAAAACATATGTGTTGGAGTAACCAATTAAAAATTGTTGAAGGACCAACCAAAATTTTCAAAGTTAAAAATGAGAATAGAATCTTCATAAAAACAACTAAATTTGCAATTTAAAAACAAACGAATAATATCAAAACATTAATAGAAGAACTGTTTTATTAGTGTATAACCAACAAAGAAGCATGAGTCAAATGATCGTATCAAGAAAAAGAGAAATGGAAAAAATATATAAGCAGAGAAACATATTCCTAGCACGCCAACACTTCATCCTTGAACGGTAAAAGGGTTAATTGTTTACATTATTGATGTTATGACCAAACAAAAGAGGTTTACATGGCGTTTATCTTATCTAACACCCGTTAAGTCTCTATACATTGAAAACCTAGAAGGATGTTACGGTGGAGGCAAGAAAGAGCAACAAAATTCCAATTTTGTAGCAACAACCAAACTTGTAGATCCCACCGAAAACCCGCCAAAAAATATGTTAAACTTCTTCATTCAACGGAAGTTGTTCTTTCGGCGAATTACTACGATTTTCAGGCGAATGGATAGTGTGGACGACCAATTTGTTTCGGTTTGCACCCTTACCATAAACACGCAAACCCATCCTTGTTTTTTCTATTTTGACTTCTTCCTTTGTACTGGGTCCTGGGGGAGTTTCTCTATATATCTGTATCCTTCTTCGAATCTTGTTATTGTTTCGAGCCTCAATCAGTTCCTTTAAATTTTTAACCAAAACTCCTCCTAGAATTTGTTGTTCGCTTCGATCAATCTCTTTGACCATTTTGTCTATCCTGAATCACAAATTAAATATAGTGTCAATACTTATGTTTTTTAGAAAAATCTGTTTAGCTTGTAGGTCTTAGAATAACACAGTAAAAAAATTTAAAAATTTAAATATAGAAGCGGTGAGTTTTTTGGAAATAACTTAGATTTGTTCGGAGAGCGTAGTTATTAACAGCACTTATTAATGTACTTTGGCACGGATGAGAGGGTTGACTCTTAGGAAAACCTAACGAAAACACCAACCACACCAAGCACACCAACCAAGCAAAGTAACTAAGGTTTGAAGAGTGGTTTGGAAGATTCCAAACGCGACAAAGAAAGAAAGCAATTGACAAAAAAAAAAACATATAAAATGGCTAACAACATTCGATTAAGAATTAGGAACACTCGGTTAAAGCAAAATCATAGATGACACCAATGTACCTTTGAACAATAATAGAATGGTTGAGACTAAGTTAAAACCAACAAAAACAAAGAAACCAATGAACTTGTGAAGTATCAAAAGATCACAGAGATAACGAAGAATGAAAACAAAGCAGGTAGCAAACGAATGACATAAGCTGATAAAACCAAACAATCGACTGAAACATGATAAATCTGCATTAACACAACCAGAAAGCACGGGGAAACAATGTATCTTAGTTTAGGTGACATACCAAAGCCTTGATTCAGATGCAATAGGTGCGGATCCCTAGATGAAAGGCAGCAAGAAGAGCAGATCACAACGTTGCAATAACACCTTGATCTAAACTACAACAAATCAATGAGATTGAGAGTTAGAATTTGAAGCGCAAACAAATGGATACAGGAAAAGTAACTCAATTTGTGACAGTGCAACGGACTCTAACTGGGACAGTTCAATGGACTTAATGTACGACAAATTCACATTTAACGAAAGAAAAGTTGATTATAATGGGAATGCATCTTCTGTCACCATATTAATTTAAAGGCCTAAAGTAAGGATGAGGTATCGTAATCGGTTTTGAATTAGTACAGGGGTTAGAGCTTGAGAACTTTGGTTTTAGAAGGAATAGGCTAAATTGAGCCAATAATGGTTCACGACCTAGCATCCATAGCACATTACACTTCATGTACAGCCTAAACTAATAGAAAATATCAAAAATTGTCGAAAACAAACACTAATTTTTTAGAGCCTGAACTGATACAAATTAGAAACACCTCAATTCGCTTGCCTTCATTATTCACTTTATATCTTAAGAATAATGACTAAATAGTTTTAAATATTAAACATTCCACAATCAAAAAGATTAAACACTTGAATCAGTACTAATAGTCATTTCACCCAAATTCATGATTGCAAGATCCTTAATATAGTATGTCTTGACAACAGATTCAATGATCATATTATATGCATGGATGTAAAAAAACAGATGCATATATAGTTATATACACATCTATGCATGCATACCTATAGAGGTATGTACATACACACACAGATGCATACATACACATGTATATACACATGTATATATGCATACATATACATATAGCTATGCAGATGCTTATACATATATTTAGAGATATTCTTAGGTATATATTGATAAATATACTATTTTGGCTAAACCGAAGTTGAGCAGACATAATACAAATAAGGAAATTATGGATTTTAGAACAACAAATAAATTTTGGCCAGCATCTGTCCAGAATATATTAAAATACAGAACATGCATGAGGAATTATGTTTTACATTATCTCACTTGATATGATATTCAAAGGAAAAATAATTTTGACAGGAGTGCGAAATATTTGAGAAAAGATAAAAAAAGATTGGATCTTAAATAACATTGATTAGTCTAAATTAATACCTTCCACTATATGAGAAAAATTAGATTGTTTCTCCATTTCTTAAAGACAGAAACCTCACTCTAACATTGTACGAAACAGTGCACTCAACAGCCTAATCTCCCCAACACCCAACTAAACAGCCTATAAACATCCATTAGAATTTTAAAGAAAACAAAGGGTAAATCTCAGAAGGGTTTAACTGACGACCAGTCATTTATGCTTGATAATGTTCTGAATTTTTAAAAACTGTTAACTGATTGAAAAACCACACCATTTAAAGAACCGGTGGAAATCAGAATAAGTATGAAATACTACATAGATAAATGAACAGCCATTAATAAAAAAAAATTTCTCAGCATGGCAGCAACAATCAGAAAAAGAAAAGGAGAAAATCTATGGGATAAATTTAAAGTCTATTTGAAAGGTTCAATATATTTGTTTGTCAAACTCAGTGATCAAACTTCATACTCATGCTTTCCAAAAAGAAAAGAAAACGAAAAACTGAAATCATTGACAAATCCAAGCAATATAGTAGCTACTATTAAGATCCAAAACGAATTGTGGAAAGTATGGGGACCAAACACTATTAGAAGTTGGAAAGATATGATGATGCAGCAGTTTGACAACACAGTTTGGGAAACTTTGGGTAGGAAATATGCTCGCAAGGAAAACCGACAATGAGTGAGTATGACTCTCAAAGCTGGTTATGTCTAAATTACTAAATTACCATGATCGTTGTTGGTTCGTTTTCACCGATGGTCTACTTTGTATTCAAGTTCTTGTAAAGAAAATTGGTCTTTTAACATGCTCTTTTCTAAATTTAAAAAAGATCGTAATTTATTAATAAATTCAATTCCCAAATTGAAATTGCAAAGAAAATAGATCTGTTAGATGCTCATGTCTTTCTTGGTACAGATACTCATATTGTTTTTAATTAGCATCACACATCATGATATTAAAGTTCTAATCATGTTAAACCTATGCCATGTAGCATATGCATTCAACTCAATACCCTAAAATTACAGCCAAAATTAATTGATATTATGAAGAAGTTGAGACTTTACCAAAGTAGCAAGGTAGCAGTTGCAAAATTCAGAGTCAAAAGCTTTCACTTTGTTTCGATCTGCAAAATACCAAAAAGACATTTACGATTGAGGAAAGAAAACACATTTGATTAAAGAATGCACTTCAGCCATTATCAAATTGTCAACCGAGCGTAATGTATAAAACTATACAAATTTACACAACCAAACTTTATACTTTTTATCAGCGAAAAAAACAGCAATTTACCTAACAATAAACATGAAATTACATATTCAAATTGATTCGACAGTTTTTAAAGATTCAAAAACTGAACCAACAGACATTTTTTTTAATATCAAACTCATTGTGTCATCTGAATTCACTTGTATACATAAGCTACCAATGCAATCACTCTGCTACCACATTTGGTAAGCTATTAATAGCAGAGGAAAAAAAAATTTACAGAACAAACTCACAATCAAAATGAGTTACGATCTGAAATAAGAGCATAGCGATCAAACTATTCGATAAGAAACGATGAATCAAAGCAATTTTCTATCAAACAACTAAGGACCTAACTTGTAACGTCTATAGGGTAACCTACACTTAAAAGAATTAACCATGCCAAAAGCACGGTATAAATGAACTAAATTACGAACTCGAGAAATAAAAAGCGTAAACGTTAAACAATTTAAAAGAAAAGAAAACAGCCTTTACTTCGGCTCTTGTTTCCTTCCCCTTTTCTTTTCCCAGATACTTCCTAGTGGGAAATATAAACCTTTAATTAAGTGAACACGTCAGCCAAAAAATTGACAGGATTAGAGCAAAAGAAAGCAACTAAGAGGTCTAACTTATGTGGTTGAGCACTCTGGGTTACCAAAGATATAATATACATACACATACATATATACGCATATACATGTATATATACGTACGTATATATACATACATACGTATATATGTATATATGCATACATACGTATATATGTATATATGCATACATACATATATATATATTTATGTATATGTACATATATATATATATATATATGTATATATAAGCATTCGTTAAACTTTAGACGTATGCAAAAGTTTTGATAATGTTAAACCAATGAGACCTTAAATAGATATTCCATACATAGAAATATTACCATATTTGCTTACAACATTAATATCCATAAGCCAAATTATTCATATGTGAACATAGGCATCTGTAAAGTCTGAAAAACATTGGCTTGTTCATGACTTATAATCAAATACTGCATGAAAGTAATAAGAAATGTAAATCTATATTAACAACATGCCTGAGTCATCTTCTACACGAACCTCAATTAAATGACAGAAGTAATAATTAGCAAATAGTAATTGTATAGCTTCAGTCTTATCAGAATGCAATCATGCTGAACTCTAATTGAAGGTCTAATAGCCATGCATCTTTGCAAATATACAATTATAAACCATCAGAAAAGAACATGACAGATTCAAACCATTATGCAAAAACAGCAAGAGACTTTCACACAATAACAGAATTGCATAGACAAAATTTAAACCAAAAAAAAAGAAAGAACTATCGGACCTATGGAGAAACAGAGGTTACAAAGAACATTTGATAAACAATTAAAAACACTGGGTTAGATAAGAATCACATAGACCCAGAGACTTTCACACAATAACAGAATTGCATAGACAAAATTTAAACGAAAAAAAACGAACTATCGGACCTTTGGAGTATCAGAGGTTACAAAGATAATGAAGAATGAGAAACAAAGCTTAGAACAAACGTATAATATAAGCTGAAATAACCAAACAGTCATGTTAAAAATTATAAAATCGCACTGTCTGAAATGGAAAGCATGGGGAAACAATGTATTGAAGTTCAGGACATACCAAAGGCTTGATTGAAATCTAATGGCTCAGAACCCCTTGATTAAAGGCAACAGCAAGAGCAGATTATGATTCTATGATGTGAGCGCGATCTAAACTACAAAAAGCAGTGAGACTGAGATTAAGAATTTGAAGTGCAAACAAACAGTTACAATAAAAGTAACTTAAATTGTGATCGTATAACGGACTCAATCTGTGAAAGTTCACCAAATAAAGGGCAAGTCTCAGAATATTAAACATAAAAACTGAAACACCCCCATCTCTTTGCAAATCTTACAAACAAAATCCCAAACGTAATCCTTGAAATCCAAACAGACCTAATTCAGAAACCATTTCTCTCGGACACCCCATACCATAGAAAATGCACCCTATACCCCGAACATAATGCTTAGTGGCCAAATAGCAATCTGTGCAGGTTGATCAAGATGTCACTAATTAGTTTTTGTGAACAGATGGTTAACCATTTTGCCAAATTTTTTTTTGCAGAAAGTGGACCATGTTTAACTTTAAAAGACAATCGCTATTTTGCCTAGACAGATTGCATCACCAATGGCTTGTCACATTTTCACAGAAATGAACAATGCCGATTGACAGATGGACAGACCTGAATGGTACCAACTGAAGCACAACAATCCTCCAAAGGAAAACAAACAACGAAATGACTTCAAGAAAAATCTGTATCATTTATTCAATGAAGCACCCTAAGTTGGAAAAGAGTAAAATTTAAATTGAAAAACAACAATCTAATAGAGACAAATTTATAACAGAAAACCATTAGAATCTTTACAGAAACCAACAAAAATGGCTGCAAGTTAAAATTCTTAAAATTTGATATTTGGCTTTAAATTTCCCTAATGTTTATAATAATTAGTGAAAACAAAATTGGACACATCAGTTAAGAATACACCAAAGTTAATACACCGTTGTAACACGTTGCAATCATTAGTGCATGTATATAGAGACACATCTGAGATGGGGAAAAAGCCCAAAAAACAAAAAAAACAAAAACAAATTTTCAAAATATAGCAAAATTAATATATAAAAGCAAAAGAGTGTTGTTTCACCTATCTGAAATGAAATGAAAGGCTTTACTGAAATGAAGGCCTACCAGGTGCAATAGAAATAAACTATATAGTTGGCCCTTGTACATGGTTAGATCTTTGGTCTCCTGGAATTATATTAAAAGGCAGACTAATCAAATGATTACGCTTAGAACTATAATGTTGTTTGAATTTTTAAAAACTGTTAACTGATTGAAAAACTACACCATTTAAAGAATCAGTGGAGTTCAGAATAAGTATGAAATACTCCATAGGTAAATGAACAACCATTAATATAATTTTTTTTCTCAGCATGACAACAACAAACTCAATGATCAAACTTCATACTCATGCTTTTCAAAAAGAAAAGAAGACAAAAAACTGAAATCATTGACAATTCCAAGCAATATAACAACTATTATTAAGATCCAAAACGAATTGTGGAAAGTATGGGGACCAAACACTATTAGAAGTTGGAAAGATATGCTGATGCAGCAGTTTGACAACACAGTTTGGGAAACTTTGGGTAGGAAATTTGCTCGCAAGGAAAACCAACAATGGGTGAGTATGACTCTCAAAGCTGGTTTATGTTTAAATTACTAAATTACCATAATCGTTGTTGGTTCATTTTCACCGATGGTCTACTTTGTATTCAAGTTCTTGTAAAGAAAATTGGTCTTTTAACATGCTCTTTTCTAAATTTTAAAAAGGATCGTAATTTTGTTAATAAATTCAATTCCCAAATTGAAATTGCAAAGAAAGTAGATCCGTTAGATGCTCATGTCTTTCTTGGTACAGATACTCATATTGTGCTTAATTAGCATCACAAATCATGATATTAAAGTTGTAATCATGTTAAACCTATGCCATGTAGCATATGCATTCAACTCAATACCCTAAAATTACAGCCAAAATTAATTGATATTATCAAAAAGTTGAGACTTTACCAAAGCAGCAAGGTAGCGGTTGCAAAATTCACAATCAAAAGCTTTCACTTTGTTTCGATCTGCAAAATACCAAACAGACATGTTGAGGAAAGAAAACACATTTGATTAAAGAATGCACTTCAGCCATTATCAAATTGTCAACCAAGCGAAATATATAAAACTATACAAATTTACACAACCAAACTCTATACTTTTTATCAACGAAAAAAACAGCAATTTACCTAACAATAAACATGAAATTACATATTCAAATTGATTCGACAGGTTTTAAAGATTCAAAAACTGAACCAACAGACTTTTTTTTTAATATCAAACTCATTGTGTCATCTGAATTCACTTGTATACATAAGCTACCAACGCAATCGCTCTGCTACCACATGTGGTAAGCTATTAATAGCAGAGGAAAAAAAAAATTACAGAACAAACTCGCAACCAAAATGAGTTACGATCTAAAATAAGAGCGTAGTGATCAAACTATCCGATAAAAACAATGAATCAAAGCAATTTTCTATCAAACAACTAAGGACCTAAATTGTAATGTCTATAGGGTAACCTGCACTTAAAAGAATTAAGCATGCCAAAAGCACGGTATAAATGAACTAAATTACGAACTCGACAAATAAAAAGCGTAAACGTTAAACAATTTAAAAGAAAAGAAAACAGCCTTTACTTTGGCTCTTGTTTCCTTCCCCTTTTCTTTTCCCAGATACTTCCTAGTGGGAAATATAAACCTTTAATTAAGTGAACACGTCAGCAAAAAAATTGACAGGATTAGATCAAAAGAAAGCAACTAAAAGGTCTAACTTATGTGGTTGAGCACTCTGGGTTAACAAATACCCATCTAACCCTAACCACTATGGTTTTTAAATTATTCTATCTAGTTACAGTGATGAGGTTTCACTGGCAGTTGACGAACAGTCATTTATATTTGATGATGTTCTCAACGACCATTCGGATAAAGCAGTTAAAATGTGTTCTGGAATCGCACACCCTGTGAAGGGATCGACACCAGACCACATCCCTAGAAACCGGCCCTAAAAAACCATACTCATACCTCCCTTATGCGTTCCCTTTCTTCCAAGTTAGGTTGCCTTGCTGGATTATGGCCAAGTGACAGATCTACCGGATGAGTTGAGACTTGGTTATGCTAACCTTGTTCTTGCCATTGTTGACGGTGACCCTATTAGAGCATCAGAGAGCCACAGGTAATGACTGCACTGATATTGCCTTAATTCAAACTAAGCTATTAAGGCAAGAGAAACTAAGGTTGAGACATGACCTGCAAACTGTGTGCAAGTGCATGTGAGTGCAAGGCTCACGGAGACAAAATCGCAATAGAGAAAATAGGTGAATTAGATCATCAAACGCTGTATCAATAAGTGAGATTGAATAGAATGGGGTGTCATTGTTGTGCTCAATTTGGATACTGGTATATACATGTTTTGACGGTCGGTACATACATATTTCCAAAGATATAATCAAGTTTATTGGAATATACATACATATATATATATATGGCGGTTACTAAATAAGGAAACAATTCCATCCCTTTTAGATCTTATATGTATATATAAGCATTCGTTAAACTTCAGACATATGCAAAAGTTTTGATAATGTTAAACCAATGAGACCTTAAATAGATATTCCATACATAGAACAATTACCATATGTGCTCACAACATTAATATCCATAAGCCAAATTATTCATATGCGAACATAGGCATCTGTAAAGTCTGAAAAACATTGACTTGTTCATGACTTATAATCAAATATTGCAGGAAAGTAATAAGAAACGTAAATCTATACTAACAACATGCCTGAGTCCTCTTCTACACGAACCTCAATTAAATGACAGAAGTAATAATTAGCAAATAGTAATTGTATAGCTTCGGTCTTATCACAATGCAATCATGCTGATCTCTAATTGAAGGTCTAATAGCCATGCATCTTTGCAAATATACAATTATAAACCATCAGAAAAGAACATGACAGATTCAAACCATTATGCAAAAACAGCAACCAATGCAAACCATTAAGCACAGATTCAAACCTGAGCTTCAAACAAAATTATATAGTGTTAATCTACGTTTGATTAACTTTACAAATTTGTGAGATTTCTACTTGGTAGTTCCATGAAGTCTTTCTGGTTTTAATTTTTTCAAAACTGAAGGGTGACTTGGGTAAGAATTCACCTGACTTGGGTCATAACATAACATAAAATAAACCAAAGTTTCTTGTAACATGACTGTTACAAACTTGAAACATAGTACAGATAGGTAAGGTCTGAAGGCTCATTGGACCTACTTGGGCTTACAAATCTTCTCAAAGTTTCTGCTTCCCTAGAAGTTGGGTGGCTGAACCTAATTTTCAACCACATATGCAATTCAAACAACATGCCTAATATTGAAGAACATGTCCAATCTTTAAGCACATTTACCAAACAGATTTAGAACACTATAAAATCCTCTTAGTAGCAGAATATAAACATAAAAATCCAATAGAAAGCATACCAGAAGCAACCGAGAAATGGGAAAATGGCAATCTTATTCTTACCCATGAAAGTACTCCCACTACTTTTCTTACTTTTCAATTCAGTTTTGTTCACAACTTTAAGTTCATTTGCTACAGTATCCCTACTCCCCTAGTCGTAAAAATAACCTTACAAACAATATTAAGCAGCACTATTTAAGAATCTAAAAACAGGCCAAACTAACTACACAGAGAAGACAGAGACTGAAACATGGAGACATGCAACACAAAACCTAATGGTTGAAATCCAACCAAATCTAATCGTTCAACCTAATGCGTTTAATCCGAAATCTAATGGTTGAAATCCAACCAAACCTAGTCCTTAAACCTATTGAAATTAAAACCATATGCCAATTGGCAAATTGGCAGATCAGAGTTGAGTGGAAAATGGTTGACTTGACTAATAAGTGAGTGATGAGTTTTAAAGCTGTTAAGATGTATTTTGGAATCAGTCCTCTCACAGATCAATTAATTCAAATCGTAGTTAAATACTAATAGTGGCTTTAAAGAATGTAGGCTTGGTTTTAAAATAAAATAAATAAATAAATAAACCCAGAGCTTTCAGTTTAAGCACCACCCTCCAATGCCAACAGAAAACACACACAAACAGGACATGATTAACATGAAAATGAAGCTGAAACGAAAGTAAAGTTGAGCCTAAGTTGAAATGGATTAAAAGGATGATTTTTGCAGCTGAAGAACAACATTGTTACCAAATAATACGAAATGATTCTCTCCAAGTTAGAAAAAGGACACTATATACTGTATCAACAAAAAAATAGAAGGAAAAAGTTTTCATGAATAAGGAGATGATAACGAAAGGTTTAGGATATACCTGCTGCTATGAATTACAGATTCCTGTGGATGAGGCTCTTTGTTTCTCAAAAACTTGCAGGTGGTTGAGCTGCAAGTATACATGACATGGCAAAAAATTAGAGGGAAAAAGAGTTTGTATCCAAACACAGTAAGGAGAATTATATTAGAAATTAGTTTGTATAAAAGTTAACAAAAGTTAACAAAAAATTTTTAAATGGATTGAGAAATACCTCAGTAATGGTCTCTTTGGTGGCTGTTGTGTGAATGAGGGGTTTGATGTGTATGTTTTTGCTGGATCTACATGCATATGAAAAATAAAATTTATAAGTGCATCCCAAAAATACAGAAGCAACCAAGAAATGGAAAAACAACCTAGGAACATAGAGATATTCGAATGATGTGAAGTGGAAAAGGAACCTGAAGGTGATTTGGTGAGAAGCAAATAGTAGGAAAGTATGAAGAAACACACAAATGAGCAGAGTGTAACCCCATTATTTATAAAGACAGAAAGCTAAAAAGCCTAAACTCCCTAATTAAAAAACAATAAAGTTAAAAAGGAGACTGAATTTTGTTTACACATAAGCAAAGGAAAAAAAATTTCTGAAAAACACAAATATCAACATACTGCAGTCCCCTAATTTAGAAAAACAAAGAGTAAACTGTAATAGTTAGCTAAACAATTATAAATATCTATGACCAGCTATCATGAAGGGAAAATTAGCCGTGACAATTTAACAGTGTAGCCCCCTTATTTACAAAGACAAAGAGCAAGCTGTAAACTTAACTAAACAACTTTAAAATATGTATGACAACTTTAATGAAGGAAAAATGAGCTATCACAATTTTAATAAAGGGAATGGCAAATCAAACAGTCAACAGCAAATTGAAAACAATAAACTGTGTAAACTTATATATGTTTTACGAAATTTTTTTTTTATTTGTTAAGCTTTCATGTTGCTGTAAATTTAGGTGTTTTCTCTCTGTTGGTGTATCTGCTTAAACTTGTCAAACGTTGGTTAATCTTATGGAATATTGGATATACTTCACAGCTTACTGCGTATGTGCAATGGAGCAGCACAAATTTATCTACATTATGGTTGTCAGCACAATGGATTAGGTTGTAGGAAAAATGTGGACATATAGCTAATCCTAGAGGTGATCTAAACAACCTGCTAAAGACTAAGAGCAAGCCCTAATAGTTAAGTAAACAATATGAAATATCTATGATAGCATTAATGAGAGAAAAAATATCTATGACAATTTTAATAAATGAAATGGCTAATCAAACAGTAAACAACAATTAAAAACAATAAACTGAAAAAAGTTAAATCCTAAGGTGGGCTAAACAATCTATAAAGATCTATGACAATTTTAATGGAGGAACAAAATATCCCTAACAATTCTAAAACAGAAAAAGATCAATCACACAAAAAGTAATCAAGAAAAAAACAAATTAAATCAGTGGAAGATCCTAATTGACAAAAACAGAGACATAATCTAGCACCCAATTGAACAATTTATAGACATCCGTTAGAATTTGAATGAAAGAACAAAATATAAAAGAAAATTTTAACAAATCAAATGGCAATTAGGCACCAAACAATGAAAACAAAAGCAGTGCAATACCTTTTGAATCAAGGGAGAAAAATGAAAACCCAGACGCTGCCATTCGTCCCTGAGGCATGCCCTCCTCACCGACTCTGTGCGTAACCCGTCAACCCTAAAGAATACACACACCCATGCTTTCCGCTGTGTATCTCTCTCCCTGTCCATCTCTCTCTCTAAAATGGGAGAAAATCCCATAGATTCTGGCAGAGGAGCTAGCAAAATCTTTCTCTCACTCAGTCCAAATCCCTAGCTCCCATCCGTCTCCAATCTGTCAGGCCCTATGTCTCCTCTTCTGTAGTCGCTCTGTCCCCTCTCTTCCCTCGCCACGGCGACACCCAGCTGTCTCCGAGTCAAAAATGGGAGCCACTGTCTCTCTCAAATTCGTCAGCCGTGATGTCCCCTTCCCCTCTCTCCCCGAGTCTCTGTCCCCCTTTCTCTCCGCTCGACACAGCGACACCCAGCTGGAGTCATCGTCTCTCTCCAATCTGTCAGCCATGATATCCCCTCCCCTCTCTCCCCGAGTCGAAAGCTGCGAACGGTCGAAAATCAGTTCTTAAGCCTGAGTGGCAATTGTGTAAATAAAACGAAAGTGTGTTAAAAGCAACCGAGTGGCAATCCTGTAAATAAACTGAAATGTGGTGCAAAACACTGTTCATTTCTACAGTGCAATTTTGCCAGCTTCTTTAGACTAAAGTAATTCTTTTATCCTTCTATCTCTCTCCACTTTGGAGGAATGATTGTGAGATCGTTGAGACCCTATCAACCATGAGTTCATGGTAAGGAGGGCCTACAAGTTAACTTTCTGGTTTTGCTATCGATTCAGACTATGCAATGCCGTGTATGTTTGACTACTCACAACTAATATTGTATTTTTTTATATGCTGTTTGAAATAATAAATTTCCTTAATTTGACGATAATAAATAAGATTATGTAACGCATAACCTAAATTTACAGATTCTACATAACAAAAGTTGCAATACAGTTCTGAATCTGTATTGACCTATTTCAAAATATAGAAAATATGAGAAATGAGGTATTAGTTGTCGTGGCTGCTAACAGTAGTGATGAATTCGATAATTTCGTTTATTTTGAATTTGAGTATCACAAGATATGATTGACCTTGTTATAATTAAAATAAATATTGTTGATACATTGTTAATATTGTAGTTTTTTTATGGATTAATACAAAATTACCCTAATTTTAATTTGCTCGAAGGATTTTATTAAAGTGCTTAATTTGGGTGCTTTTCTAGCCATCCATCTTGGTTTATGAAAAGAAGATATATCTGTTAAACTCCTCACTTCCTGAGCCGTTTGGTTCTTCTCCCAGTTGATACGGTGTTCCGTGTTTGCTCCATCTCCTTTGCATTCCACCTCTGCAAACTCAATTGTACCCCAGCAGTTCCATATGTCAAAAGTAATTCACTAAATTGTGATTTTATTTTTGAGAAAATTTATTTATTTTTATACAAGTGATATTTTGTTTTATATTAATCTAAATTTCGAGATGAGAGATTCAAACTCGAGTACATAAAGAGGAGCACATTCACTCTAGTCAAAGTGGCTTAGCCTAGCCTCTAGACAAATCAATATTCTAAACAACCATAATCCACGGATTGGAGAATTCGACCTTAGATATAGATGAGCAACACCAACTAACCTAATTCAGTTCCTACATTCCATAGCTTAGGGTTTTTTTTTTGTAGATAGGGTCTAGGGTTTAGAGGCGGCTCATTGACTGGCCAACTAGCCTAACTCGAAGTCCAGTTATATTGTAATATTATCATTCAAAAAATCGAATAGGAGATTGAAAAAGGATTACAACTTACTCATGGCCTGCATTCCATGGATTACCCCAACCCTGTGGGGTGATAATATTGTCCATGTCTGTCCGGTAAAACAATACTCTTGAATGAGTCCCATATGCCCTTCCCAGATTAGCAAGGCCACTTCCAGTAATATGGCAATCTTTGAATACAAACCCAGAGGGGTCGTCTGCTCCACCTCGACCATTGGCTGTAATATGGGCAGGGCCCCCTATTACGTCCGTTCGTGAAATTAGTGAGCATTTCTGAAAACAATTATATTGATATTTAAGGTTAATTGATCAAAAGATCATGAGGAAAATAAAGAACGTTAATTAGTTAATGAAAGGATTCAGGTTTTAATCACCTCATAAATTGATTGGCCATGGCCCCAAACGAAGTCTATAAGTCCTTCAATGGTGCAATCATAGAAATGGTGACGACCTTTGGCATCACTCAATGTGTCTTGCAAACTAGAAAAGCTACAGTGGTAAAAACTTGCTTTATCTCCAGATACATCTAGGGCAACTGCCCATGTAGTGGTCTTCCTTTTTCCATTGGCATCATATAGGTCAGCACCAATATTGTCGTATGTATTCTGTTAAAGACAATTTTATTTACACGATTATGAATTAATTATAACCAAAATATGTAAGTAATGTTGAAGAGTTACATATCCAAGATAAGCCGAACCATATAGTATTGATTTGCAGCTAACTACCGAAGATATTAAAGTGATTGCTTGTATAAAGGTGAAGATAAGTGTGAGAGATTTGTCACAACTCCACCCTAAGCCCTCAAGTTTGTAGGGCATAACGGCCCAACTGGTGGTTAGCGACCTTTATGTGTGGTACAAATTAAAATATTACAAGTTTAACCTAGGCTTGATATTTAACCTTGAAGATTATATTCCGTGCCACAAAATTTTCTGCAAGTGCTTTAAATGTAGGACTAGTGAGAATACTTCCACCGTCCGCATATTGGATCACAGGTTGGCGATCAGAGTCTCCTTCAATATAGATGTATGGTTTGTCTACTGGGATCTGAACTTTTTCACTACATACATAAAAGTAGCTAGCGGATTAGAGCAATGAATTAAGACTACAGATTAGAAACAAAAACTGTACTGAACTTTGAGATGATAGTTTACTTACGTATAGATACCATAGTTGATGTGAATTCGAGTCCACGCAGTGTTATTTGGTGCTACGGAATCAATGGCTTGTTGCACCGAGGTAAAATTTCCTAGGCCATTCGGATCGACTATGATGGTACTTATAACATTGTCTTGAAGATTATAGATCCCTGGGACATACCTTGCATCCACTTCACTCAATAAAAAGAAGAGAGCCAATGTTGAAGATATAATTAGAAACTGCATTTTGCTAACAATATTGAGAATATAAGACACTGTTCTTGACAGATGAAGATGGTGAGTTTCATCATCTTGTATAGGGTAAACAAATGTTCGACTGCAATACACTATAAGAATTATATTTGGGTGGCAGATTAGATTCAGGCTACCCAATCTACTGGTGTTTGGAAAAAATGGATTTTAGGTTATTTGAGGTGAAGGAATAAATGTAAACGGTGAGGTGAACAAATGTCAACGATTCATCTACGAAATCTTCAAAAATAATTGGGATTAATATGGTAGGTGCTTAATCCTTTCCTTAATTAATTACGTGCCACATTGTACAAGAACACAGTCTGATTACTTGGTAGTTGGCTAAGTGGTTGCCCTAGTAGTGTCTTGCATGGCATTGATGTAGATTTCACACTCGAACGTTTTTTCTTGATCATTTTTGTTAACTAATTTCTTAGTCCGATTGCACTCAAAAGTTCAAATTTGTGATTCCAATAATATTAACATGTGGGAAGACTTAAGATTTAACGCGTACATTGTCACTGTTTTGTCGATTAATAATATTGCGTCATACTAAGTTTTTCTCAACATACATGATAGTGCATTATTGGCTTGAGATGACATGATGACAATATACTCATTATATGTACAAGTCTTTCTCGCAATTTGGGCCATACTCTAATCTATTAGTGTAATACAAGAAAATTATCCAATCAGATTTTCAATAATATACCATGTTTTAAGTTTTAATTTCAGTCGCCATTAGTACTATAGTTTGATAATATTTCTTTTCACCTATAAGTGAAATGTCTCATATTTAACTCTTATAGATGGTTCAGCTATAATTGTTTTTCCCAGTTAATAGTTCAGCTCACCTAATCTTCAATTAGAAAGAGAAATCACGTTGAACTTACTAAAATCCAGACTATCCAGTTTTAGTTCCAACCCCGGCAGTGGTTGCAGTCGTTCAATTGTGTAGATGGTCATGAGGCTGATGACATGAAATCTTCAATCCCTTTTTTTCTTTGAGAAGAAATCTCAATCCCTTCAATACGGGAACATATAGGATTTCTTGCCAAATATTTTGTTTCATTTTTATAATCGGATTCTTGCCTCTTTTTTAATATCAGATTGTGCACAAATATACTGATGGATGTTGAGTTTGGTAGAAAAATAAATACATATAATATGACATAAATAATATACAGATGTTTGTACGTTTCCATTCCAACTTAATAAATATCGTACCCTTGCTAAAAAAAAAAAAAAAAAATTGGAACATTGCCCTTATGCAATTATCCATTGCCGGACTAGCCGTTGGAAATTTAAGGCTTCCCTGCCAATTTTTGCAGCGTTTCATTAGTGAGATGGATATTGCCTCGTGTTCTTTTTTTTTTTAAATAAATATATGCGTGTGTGTTTTGGTTGATTTGTAATTGCTTGTTCAATCCTTAGCTGAAACAAACGCAAATTTGATGACATGTAGTTAATAAGCCTCAATATACTTTTTACTTTGACGTTTCAGATGTTTAACATGGTTCTACGTCAGTGGGAGGTCTCTAGTGTAATATAAATTGTATCTATCACTAAAACTACGGCGGTACTCATTTTAACTTGCAAGTGAAATTCTTAGCTACAAAATTCAATATTTAATTATGATGTCGACTAGCACATTATATATGTAATTTAGTTCATGCCCCTCTAACGATGGTTTGAAAAGTAAAGATTGATTGTTGCTAGCCTCGCCTTAAAAACCATTCATCTAAAGGCCCCTTTTAGTGCAATTGATGTCTCTTGATTCCTTACTCTCCCTTTTTTTTGTGAATTTATTTAATTTCTTACTGATATCTGTTGGTGCTTAGATGATATGAATTTACTATCATACACATGGGGTCTTGTTTTTTTTTTTTTTTTTTTAATTTGATCAGAACATGGGCTCTTGTTTAATTTAGTTCAATTTGTTTGGGAGTGCCCAATGTGAGGGAAGAGAGAGTGGCAGCCATGATTGTGGATTTCTTGGGTCTGTTAGGAGGGGTAGAGAAAATGAAAAATGGAAGAAGATAAGGAAGGAACTAAAATGGGCTAATAGTGTTTCTTATCAATGGTTTGGATTGACTGGTGTGGTAGCTAACATATAGGTTGCAATAGAATTGTCCGATTCCTCAAATTACCTTGGGTTGCATCCATAGATTGCTAGCCACAGTTCTATTCCTTTCACTTGTAATTAGTAACTAGGGTTTTTTCTACTACCGTAGGCTTGCAATTGTTGTCCAAATTTTTCGGATTGCAAGTTACCTAAGCAATCAAGTTAGGTTGCTAAAAATATTGTGATGATACATATATAGAGTTGGTAGGTGGTGTTCCGGCGGTGGAGGTAGCAAATTGTTAAGGTTTGTTTCGGTTTCCCTTTTGCGTTGATCCCAGAACTTTGTTTTAGGTTTTTTTTGCTTTACCCTTTCAAAAAAAAAAAAAAAAATATATATATATATATATATATATATATAGACATACACACATATATACAAGGTGACATATACATGACTTTTCAGGATTAATTTTTCGGTGAATGTTGGTGTTTTGTTTTGGGTTTACTTTATGAATTTGTTATAGATTGCTGGTGCATTCTGGTGATTTCTTAATCTTATGCATCTAGTTAACCAAATAAAAATTTGATAAGTTAATAGTTACTAATCCTCACACTTTGTGTTAGTTGAAAATTTTCAGTTTTTTTTTCGAAGTTCCTTACTTACGCGTCGGTGCCACTGTGCTGAAACTGAAAGGATTTGGCTTTACTGCCATACACATGAGCTAGCTGCTCGTTATTTAGTTAAATCTTCTTAGTTTGGATAATCAAAACACAACGTACGAGCATAGGAATTATTTAAGCGTACGGGACTTTTTGGTAACTGGATGAGTATCTTTTTTGGTTGCGTCCACTTTCACTTTTTTATTCATTTCACTCGTGATTAGTGCCTTTTGGGCTCCGTAATAGGAGGTGTATTGTCTCTCCTTATATTTTCATACTCTCTTTATGATCTTTTATGACGTGTGATCACGGTTAAGCCACGTTAATATTTTATATTAATTTTTTATAAAAATAATAAAACAAAAAGTAATAGAAATATAAAATATTGACGTGACTTAACCATGACTACACAAACAAGAAAGTATGGAGAAAATATGAAAATGGGAGAGCAGACAATCCACCTCCTTTGTAATAAGGTACTTGTTGGTAACTGCATGAATTTTTGTTTGTTTTAGATGGAAGACGATGGAAAGCTGCTTTGGGAGTTGTATTACACGGTCTGCGGTCACTCTCCACCCGATGATGAATTTTTAAGTTTGCCCGTTAGTATTTTCGACACATTAAATATCACAATACAAATAGTTAGATATTTTAAAAAATTTAATATTATCAGTTCATATTTTTAATACACTACTTAATTTACAAGTAGTTAGTATTACAACACTTAATTTACAAGTTTATATTTCTAACACACTAAAAAATTTCTCGTGCCTAACAATTGAGGCCATTAATTTACATGTATGAACCATATAAAAATATTATTACATATTTAATCGTACACGATGTAACTAGTGTTCTTGTTACAGATAATTTTTTTTTTTCACTCTGAAGAGTTGTGGCTCATAATTGAGGTACACATAATTAATTGGAAGAGAAATGTTAAGGAAATTTTTTCAAAATGAAACTTTTTAGCTACTTTACAATATAATGTCAATTCCTATACTAATATTATAAAATATAATATAAAAATTATGAAGTGCTAGCATTTTTAAGTGAATGTTCTTAGCATAAGTGAAACGAAGATTAGTTTGAGATAGAAAAGGCTTTGGTAACCACAGTAGTACTGTAGTAGTGGGAGGATACGTGTAAACACACAAGTTAATCCATTTTGCAGCAACATGCGCATAATCTGCATGTCTATATGTCGACATCTGGCTTCTATTTTCGGGATTACAAATGTAGAAGTGGAGTGGAGTGAAGCCATTCAAGTAAAACTCTCTCTCCTCTTTCTCTAAACATGGAAACTACTGAGAGCGAGAAACAAAACATGAATTCCAATGTGACAGTTTCTGAGTCTGATGGGAAGAGCTTGCTGGAGAACTCGGAGATTGAGAGCTTCTATCAGAGACTTATTAAGCTGCATAATTCATCTGGGATCAACCTTGTGTGAGTTTTGCTAATTTTTGAATTTTAGATACTTTTGTTCTTTTAGGTTTTTTTTTTCTCTGTTTTTCTTATATTATTTGCTCAAGTGGGTTCAAGCAAGGATTTTTATGATGGGTTTTGTTCGCACACACACAAACACATATATGTATATGTATGTATACATGCATGCATGCAATGTTTGGTATTTGAGAAACTTATGTGATTGGAATGGTAAATACCGGTACAGATATTTTAACCTGTTCCCAGTTGGCGATCTCTGATTGGTGTGTTTGTATGTGAAAATCGGTGTCTTTCTTGCATTGTGCAGTTTTGATCTCAGACAATCAATGCTGGACTTGCATTTGTGTTACAAAGAAGTTACTGCAAGAGGAGGGTTTATTCAGGTAGTTTGTTTCCAATCGTTGATGATTCTTTCTTGTTTATGTAGTCAAAACGAAAAAGAAAGTCGATTAGACGATTACCATGTTAATCATTTTGTTAGTTGTATCGTTCGAGTTTTATCGATGTTCCAAATAGACTAATAATTAATTAGAAACTTTAACGAAGTTTCCGGTACTGTTCACCTTAACGAAAAACCAAATTTTTACACTAAAAAGTCAATCCTGATACTATTCACTTTGCCTTTATTTTGTCCTTATTGTTAAAACTCAAAGTTTTCAAGCCCTTTTCATTAGTTTTCCTTAATTAATTTGTTTACTTTGGTTGTGTTGATTGAGTCATGGAATGATAAATTTTCTGAAGTTCTGAACTTATACAATCGGGATTATCTAGTTTGACATTAGAATGTCATGGTGGTTTAGGAGAGATTGTTGAAGTGCTTAACAGCGCATTCGCAGTTACAAAATCATTTATTAGATGAAGCGGTTTTCAACTTTTCACCTTAAAATTTGAAGGGATGAAGTTTCAGGACCAGATATTAATTAGACATATAACGGTTACTTTCCAGGTTACCGCTGATGAGAGATGGGGTGAAGTTGCACTCGCCTTAAAGTTGGATGGGGACAATCTGCAGGATCCTCAACCTCTCCTAAACCTTTATGTACACATTCTCTACCAGTATGAAAAACTTTACTACTACAGGGAACCTCATGTGAAAGCTGCTTTTACTCTAGGTAGAGTACTCCGAAAACTAGCCAATCGTTCTCGAGCCTGTTTTTATATCAGACAAGATCAAGAGAAATGCATGTTTTCTATATGTTTTTATTACCTTTATTTTTCTGATTAGGATGATATGTCACAGGTCATGCTTTTTATAATATTGGGGATGTCTCAGCAATTGAAAGGAAGTGTACGGACAATTCATCCCAGATGTTACCGAATTTTGAAAATACTCTTGTGGAGAAGAAGGTGGCGAAGGAGAATTGGCAACCAACATTGATAGGTATGTCGCTGTTGCTTACTTGGTTGATTGAATTCAGCAAACTGAAACCTTACATGTTTCAGTTGTACATTTAGTGGTTATCAAAACTTCTGAAGGAACAGAGGAGGTCGTGGGGCTGATTGTTTTCTTTGTGATACAAAAATTGTGAATCAGAAAGCTAAAACATTTCATGTTGGAATTTGATTAGGTTCTACATCTGCAGAACAGAAGCGGTTCCCCCAGCTGCACTCACAGAAGAAAGAGATGAAAAGACGTCGTGGTTTTCCACGAGGGACACAAAGTGCTTATACTATCTTCCTCAGGAAAGAATGCGAGCGGTTGAAAAATTCTGCTTCAGAGCAACTTAAGGGTCAAAGGATCTTAGACTTGGCCGTCAAGGCATGGAGGTGCCTCTCCGAGAGTGAGAAACAGGTAGAATTATTTCAACTTGTACATAGTCTCCGTTAATGTTTAGCCATTTTGTTGCATTCGTTTTTACATGCTTTGTGGTATGGTATTTGAAATCAATCAACCCCATTCCCTTAAAGCTTTCAAACTATGAAATCAGTATCTTTTACGCTCTCATTATGTTCGGATCCAATATAATTGGAAAGTTTATTAGCTTAAACCGAGTCTGGAAGCAAAGTTAACAAGAACTTATGCATTTGATTCCCAAATTTTTATATTAAACTAATCCTCTCATACGACGGATAGTGTTGAAATTGTAAAAACAATTTTTTCCTAATACCGTGCTTCAAGGACGATCAGTAATTTATCAAGTGACAATGTTAAGCAGCATTACTTAGAAAATACAGGCTGATTATTCCTCTTTCTTTCTGCAATTAACATCCTTCCTCTGAATGTCGGTATGTATTTATTTGTTTTCCTTGCAGCCATATATTGAGGCAAGTAAGAGGGTTAATGAAAAAAGAGCAGCTCAAGAAATGATGGCTGATGAGGAAAACCATGGCATGCAAAATGCAGAAAGAGGGAAGAAGCCTTCACAATCACACAACGGGAACTGCCGCGCGGCATTGCAATCTGATACGGAAAAATCCTGTGTTCAAAATCAAGCAGTGAATTTTCAAGAAAGTCTCCTAGAAGGGATCTACTGGAGTAAGTAATGTCGTTCACTCAAGGACTCAAGAATTTCAGGGGGGGGGTTGTTTTTGAAATCGGAAACTCTTTATATTCCGGGGAAGGTGGATCTTGAACATTTCATAGATATGTTACAATCTTGTCGATCTTTTCGTGTATATTTTGTAAATGCGTTCCCTCTTGATGGAAATGTGTGGTAAGTCTAGCCTTCATATTTTTGGTGGTGAACCGGCTGTGAACGGGGTTCGGAAATGTAACCTCAGACCCTTCCCTTAGTGTAAAGAGAGGTTTTTTGCTATATCATCTTTTGTTGCAACCGCTACTTTTCTTGCATGATGTTTCTAAAACAATCTCGTGTCGGTAAACGTTTCAAAGGACCAAGTTGGTTTGGGCACAGAGAAAATGCACCGCGTAATGAACCGATGAATGCGCGAGAAGAGAGCTTACCCTCGAATTTTGAAACCTTGGTTACCGGTTAGATCATTGTATCCTAGTGCACAAACGCCTCCAGAACTAGTAGCATGTATGTAAGGGCGAATTTTTGTCTAAAATGTCCTACTATTTTGGAATAACTTTAAAGAAAAAATGATCTAGGAAAGAGTAGACCTCGAGCCTAATCTTATTTTTTTTAGAAATTAGTACAAAACATGACGCTAGTCATATATGAACGTGTTTTTATCGGTAAAAACACATTCATTAGTATAGCTAAGAATTTGCATGTGTTCGTACCGGTAAGAACATGTTCATTATTTGAGCTGAAAATTTACACACGTTCTTACCGGTAATAACTTTTGTAAATTTTCAGCTCAATTAGTACCTTCATATATAATTGCCTACTATGTTGTAATTTCCAAAAAAAATAATTTAAGGCTCCGGGGTCTACTCTTTCCTAGATTTTTTTTTACATGCATTTTGCCAACACTTTGCCTACTATTTCGGAATAATTTAGAAGTGAGGCTAATGTTGGGGCAAACAACGATGTTTTGACGTGCCACGATGCGAGAGTTAGTGTGTCAAAGTGTTAGAAAAATGCATGGCATGACACGCTAACTCTCGCATCGTGGCATGCCAAAACATCGTTGTTAACACCGACATGACAAGCGTCACGAATTAAAGCTAAGTGAAACTCGGTTTTCAGACAGAAAGCGCTCCAATCTCCACAATAACTTTGCCTATCACAGTCGGGCTTAAGTGTTGACGAGAAATTCTCTTATGTCATCAATTTATAACATGTTTATTGTTTATTAAATGAATAGTGCACTTTTTAAACAAGTTTGTAAGCATTTAATATACGATGATAATACTCAAAACAAATCTCGTTTATCAGTATACCCACAAGTTAATTAATCCATTTTACATCCACATGCGCATAATCTGCATGTCTGTATGTAGACATCTGGCTTTAGTTTTGGGGATGACAAATGTTGAAGGGGAGCAGAGTGAAGTCAATGAAGTGATAGTTCTCTCTCTCTCTCTCTGTGCAAACATGAAGACTGAGAGCGAGACACAGAACATGGATTCCAATGTGACAATTACTGAGGCTGATGGGAAGAGCTTGCTGGAGAACTCTGAAAGTGAAAGCTTCTATCAGAGACTCAACAAGTTGCATAACTCATCTGGGCTGAACCTCCTGTGAGTTTTCTCTGATTTGGAGGCTTTTTGGCTTCTGGGGTTTCATTGTTTCTATGTTTTTCTCCCTCTTTGATTTCGAAATGTGTCAGAAAACAATGATTCTTGTGATGGGTTTTGTTCATATCATATAGGCTTTGTTTGGTTTTGATAAACTTGTGGGAAAGGTTAAATAAATAAAAAAAGCAAAGTGGAACCTTGTAATTCAACAATCAGAAGTTGCATGTAGGATATATTGGCAGCTTATATGTATATATCTTTCTTGCTATGTGCAGTTTTGATCTCAGACAATCAACATTGGACTTGCATCTGTTTTACAAAGAAGTTACTGCAAGAGGAGGGTTTATTCAGGTTTGTAATCACATTTTCTGCCTCTAAGTTTATTCTTTAGTGAAAGAGTCCATGACCATGTAAATAATTTTGTTACTTGTATCGTTTGAGTTCGGGACTAATAATTTGGTTACTTTGATTGTGTTGATTTTGAATCATGGTATATTGTTTATCTGATGTTGTGAACTTACACAGTTGGGATTGATCCGGTTTGAAATTAGAATCCCTTGGTGGTTTAGAAGAGAACATGAACTGTTGAAGTGCTTAACATTGCGTTCCTATGCAGTTACGGAATCATTTATTAGATGAAGGGGTTTTCAACATTTCACTCTAACTTTGGAAGGAATGAAGTTATGGGACTAGAAATCAATTAGATTTATAATGACTGCTTTCCAGGTTACCACTGATGAGAGATGGGGCGAAGTTGCACTTGCCTTAAAATTGGACGGGGATAATCTGCAGGATCCTCAACCTCTGTTGAAGCTTTACGCGCTCTTTCTTTACCAGTATGAGCAACTTTACTACTACAGGGAATCCCATGCGAAAGCTGCTTCTACTCTAGGTAGAGGAGCTACTCTGAAAGCTAGCCGAACCTTCTAGACCGCAAATTTATATTAAACAACTCTAGAGAAATGCATGTTTAGAATATGTTTTTAGTATGCCTTTATTTTTCTTATTAGGATAAACAATTTCAGGTCATGGTTTTTATAGTATTGGGGATAGCTCAGCAATGGAAGGGCAGTGCAGTGATAATTCATGTCAGATGTTACCGAATCTTGAAAATGCTCTTGCAGAGAAGAAGATGCCCAAAAAGGACTTTCAACCAACACTGATAGGTATGTCGCCGTTGCTTACTTGGTAGATTAAATTCAGCAAACTAAAACATTAGATGTTGGAATTGTACATCTAGTAGTTGTCAAACTTATGAAGGAACTGAGTAGGTCGTGGTGTTAATTGCTTTTGTTTATGATATAACAAGAATGTAAATATAGGCTATTTTGTGATTCATTCAACTTACTCATAGCCCCTTGTTTTGCAAATTCGATTAGGTTCAACATCTTCAGAACAGCAACAATTCCCCCAGCTAAGTTCAAAGAGAAAAGAGAAGAAAAAGCGTTGTGGCGCTCCTCGAGGGGCACAAAGTGGTTATCATATCTACCTCAGGAAAGAATGCGAAAGGCTGAAAAGTACTGATGCAGGGAAACTGAAGGGCCAAAATTTCCGAGCCATGGCAGACAATGCATGGAGATCCTTCTCTGAGACTGAGAAACTGGTAGAATAACTCAACTTCTACACGGTCCATGCTTAATTTAGTTAATTATTGAAGCTTTCAAACTATGCAGTCAGTATCTATAACGATAGGTTCATGAATCTCAAATTTTTGCATTAAACTACTTCCACACATGACATAGAGCGTTGAAATTCAAACACACCATTTCCGATTAGCGGACAATCAAGAATTTACCAAGCATTGGGAATTTTAAGTGGCATGAATTTTAGAAATACAAGTTGATTGTTGATAAGTCTTTCTTAAAGCGATGTCTACCCTCTGAATGTTTATACGCTCGTTTATTTGTTTTTGGTGCAGCCATACATTGAGGCAAGTAAGAAGGTTAACGGAAAACGACTGGCTCAACAAGTGACTGCTGATGAGGAAAACCTGGGCATGCAAAATGCAGAGAGGGAGAAAAAGCCTTCACTCAATGGGGACTGCCACTTAACCAACCAGAAGATAATGTGGTTCACTAAGCAAATGAAGGAAGTCTAGAGTTTCCGTTGGGGGTTGCCCTTGAAGTCGAAGAGGCTTTATATTCCGGTGAAAGGCGGATGCTGTATGTCATCATCAATTACAACCTAGTAGGTCTTGTTTTGTTTATTTTGTAAATATGATCCCTTGATGGAAATGTTTTTATATTTTTGGTGGTGAGGCAGCTTCAAACGGGGTCCGAAAATGTATCCTCAGGCCCTTCCTTTGGTGTAAAGAAACTTCTTAACAATCTCTGACTTGAATAGACTACGTTTCATTTAGGATATCGAAATTTTAGTACAATTAATTGTCACACTATTTATATAGACAGAGAGACGACCGGTTTCCTACTAACCCTAGTAATTTAGTTAACCACAATCACCATAACAGAACAGGGAAGAACTACCTCTCTTATGCAAAGGTAAACACATTTCTCTTTTTGTTTTTTCCACGTTTCAAATTTTTTTTTATTTCTTGCATACAAACCCTAGCAAATTCCGAAGAGATTTGGAAAGTCTGTAATCTTTGTGACTTGTAATAATACGACATGTCGTATCTTCAAAAAAGAAAAGATACAAAACGACACGACATTATCTGCAGCCTGACTTTACATTCTGCAATCCGCACCTGTTAGCCAAAATACTGGATAGCACAGCCTATGAGAGCAAAAATATGAGCACATCCACCACCACAAATCTTCCTCACAACATCAAACCAAATGAATCCTCAGAAGATATCAAATCTCCCACCCCCAAGCTCTCCCAGAAAACAATCTTACACATCGTAAACACGAAATGCGCAACTTCGCTTCAACATCTCAAGCAAGCTCATGGTGTTGCCCTGAGGTCTGGCCACTTCCAAGACCATTACGTGGCCGGGGCTATCGTGAAATGCTACGCAAGCAACAACTTCGGTCTTGCGCTGAAGGTGTTCGATTGTGTGTGGAGGCCGAATGTGTTTGTGTGGAATATTGTGATCAAAGGGTGCCTAGAGCACAATGAGGCATTCAGTTGTGTGTCATATTATTGTAAGATGGTGGATATGAATGCCAGGCCTAATAAGTTCACGTATTCCATGTTGTTCAAAGCCTGTTCGTTGGCTCAAGCGGTGGAGGAAGGCCTGCAAATTCACGCGCATGTTGTTAAAAATCAGTTTGGTGAAGATGGGCACATAAGGAGCGCTGGGATTCAAATGTACGCGTCTTTTGGGCTCGTGGAGGAGGCAAGGATAATGTTCGATGAGGGTGGGGAAGCGAACGATGTTGTTTGTTGGAACGCGATGATTGATGGTTACATGAAATGTGGAGATGTAGAGGCAGCTAAAGAATTGTTTTATAAGCATACGGCGAGTAAAAATATCGGTTCTTGGAATGCAATGGTGAGCGGTCTTGCTAGGTGTGGCAGGATTAAAGAGGCGAGGGAGTTGTTTGACGGCATGAGCGAAAGGGACGAGATATCTTGGAGTACTATGATTGATGGCTATATTCAAGGAGGGTTTCACAAGGAGGCCTTGGAAATTTTCAATGCGATGCAAAAGGAGAATCTAATTAGTCCGAAAAAATTCGTGTTGTCAAGTGTGCTAGCTGCTTGTGCTAATGTGGGAGCGCTTGATCAAGGAAAATGGATTCATGCTTACATCAAGAAGAACAATATTCAGTTGGATGCGGTTGTTGGGACTGCTTTGCTTGACATGTACGCAAAATGCGGGCGGATTGACATGGCGTGGGAGGTGTTTGAAAATGTCAAACAGAAAGAGATTTCGACATGGAATGCCATGATTGGAGCGCTTGCTATGCACGGCCGAGCAGAGGATGCAGTTGAACTTTTTGCCAAGATGCAGATGCGTAAGTTGGAACCAAATGGAATTACATTTTTGAATGCCTTAAATGCTTGTGCTCATTCAGGTTTTGTCGAGAAAGGTCTTGAAATTTTCAGTTCTATGAAGAGATTTTATGGCATTCAGCCTGAGGTGGAGCACTACGGCTGTGTGGTTGATATGTTTGGAAGGGCAGGGAAATTGGAAGAGGCAGAGCAGCTCATAAACTTGATGCCAATTGAACCCAATGCGGCAGTTTGGGGGGCGTTATTAGGCGCTTGCAGGATACATGGAAAAGTCGAAATGGGAGAGAGAGTAGGAAAGATTTTGCTCGAATTGGAGCCTCAAAACAGCGGTCGCTACACGTTGTTATCAAACATTTACGCGAAGGCAGGCAGGTTTGATGATGTTGCAAAAGTAAGAACCTTGATGAAGGAGAGAGGGGTTAAGACAAGTCCAGGGATTAGCATGGTCGACATTGGTGGCATTGTTCATGAATTCAAGGTGGGAGACGGATCACACCCGAACACTAAGGAGGTCTATTCGACGCTGGAGAGGATCATAGAGAAGCTGCAGACGGAGGGCTATTCGCCGAATAGCTCACAAGTCTTGTTTGACATTGCAGAGGAGGAGAAGGAAAGTGCATTGCAGTACCACAGTGAAAAGCTTGCCATTGCTTTTGGAGTCCTCAACACAAAACCCGGAACAGCCATTCGCGTCACGAAGAACTTGAGGATCTGTGAGGATTGCCATTCTGCAGTAAAGATCTTCTCAAAAGTATACGAAAGGGATGTGATCGTTAGGGACCGGATGCGGTATCATCATTTTAGAAATGGAAGGTGTTCATGTAAGGATTTTTGGTAACTGAGGTCTTAAGGCTCATGATCGAAGCAAATGTATGTAATACACAAGAGATTAAAGATCGATTGAAGCGTTTTCCTTTGCTGATTTCGATGAACTTTTCAACTCAAAATTTCGATTCCCTTCCCATCCTTTACCTTGTTGGTTTGCTACCCGAAAGTAGAGAGTGGGGTGGTCTACTAACCTGAGTAGTATAGGGCATGCTTAGTAGGACCTCACTCTCCGTAAATGGTGATTTGTGAACAGATTCAAATACCTTTATCCACTTGACTCAGGCTTCACCACAACTTAGTTATAAGCCTATGCTACTGGGTTTGGTTTGCCATCTTTACTTTACTCAAAGATCAAAGAACGGATTCCTGTCAAAAAGCACTTCATTATTTTGAATGTTCTAAAAAAAAATTATTCTAATTGCTTGTTAAAAATGTAAATGTTCGATAATAACATGATCCCTCGTTTTAAGTGGCCCTGTCGAAAGAAATTTTGAACTTGTAGGTGGCAACAGGACTCCAAGAGTCTTATCGATGTTCTTAATGGTGAATCTTCTTCTCCTTGGCACCTGCTAACCTTATTCCCAATATCCAAAGATTGATTTGCAAATTCCAGTGCCTTCCTTTATGTCATTTTTTTTCTTGATGCTAATTTTGTTGCGGATGCATTGACTTTGTGGGACACTGCACTTCAGTATAAGCAGAGCTGACCCTAAGATTTTACGGACCCTATAAAATAAATGGGCTCTTGTATAAGAACTCTTGCTACAAAGCCAATAAATATGTTAAGAGTTTATTATTAGTAGTTGTGAGTTATACCTCAAATCAGCAAAAATCACGAAAAAGAAATAATAAAAACATAATTTAGGGCACAACCAAACTAGTGATTCCTCTTATGCATATGGAGGCCTTATTTTTCTTATTTACTTGCAGAACCTATAAACTTTTTTAAAGATGAAGTTTATTTATTTATTTATTTTTTACAACAAACCAAGTTGGTATATATAGATGATATCGTCTTTTAGGATCCCTTTAAGATTGAGGCCATACGCTAGAGAACCTATTGCACATTTTCAAAACCGCCATTGAGTATAAGGTGATAATACCCTACTCAATTGACATAACATGTATAAACATTCAATAGAAATCAAAGAAGATGTGAATGAGGGGATACTTGAAGAAGTGGATAACAAGTCGAACGCGATCCAATTTCTCCACCACTAAAAACAATTTCGATCTAGTCGGACGTACCTTTAAATCACCAAGGAAAATGACCAGAAACCCATACTTATTCCCGCGTACAATCCTGCAAAAACAAGGGCATTCTCGTCATAATGCCACAATACATAACTAAATCCCCTTCCCCGCCACACACAAACAGAATCAGTTGGCTGTCAGCTCTCAACTCAAAAACCTCCATGGCCATGAAACTACTATCGCCACCCACTTCTCTCTCACAGCCCACCAAGCTTTGCTCTTTATACGGCAGCTCGAAAGGATTCAAACCCATTTCAGTCTCGACCCGACTCTTCCAGTGGAGGCCGCAACGGTTCGACTTCTCGAAGAAAATGGTTGTGAAAGCTGGTGTGAAAGTGGAGGAGAAAAATGTCCAAGAATCATCAGGAAGTGAATGGGGGAAAGTGTCTGCTGTGCTGTTTGACATGGATGGAGTTCTCTGCGACAGCGAAGAGCCGTCTCGATTGGCCGCAGTCGACGTTTTCGCCGAGATGGGGGTGGAGGTCACGGTGGAGGACTTTGTGCCATTCATGGGAACTGGTAAAAATTCAATATTTCTTTCTTACTGCTATGGATTCTTGACATGAAGTATTTCTTACAGTGTTTGTTTCGTACAGTTGACTTTGGGATGGTAAAATTGCAAGAAAACCAGAAGAATTGTGGTTGTGAATTTTGTAGTTGCAAGTTGAATAATCTGTAATCGAAAGTACAGTAGATTCTCCCCTCAAATTTGGAATTCTAAAATTATTTAAAATATCTCGTACTCAGTTTGAATACATAAACCAAATTTCGTCCAGCGGTTCTAATGTTAAGATCCCTGTTGTTATTTAACTATTGTGTGAGTTAATTGGAACAAAATCGATGTGCAGTTTTGTTGTGAAAAAGATATTCTTTTTCCTAAAGTTGGTTTCCATTTTGCATCAATGTACTAGGAGAAGCGAACTTCTTAGGAGGTGTTGCTTCCGTTAAGGGGGTAAAGGGATTCGATCCTGAGGCAGCAAAGAAGAGGTTCTTTGAGATATATTTGGATAAGGTTAATGATTCTTGTTAGAGTCTATCTTCTTACAACACTAATTTTGAATCATTTAAGTTGCAACTAACCCCAACGAAATGTTCTATTTCTTGTAGTATGCAAAACCAAATTCTGGAATAGGATTCCCAGGTGCCCTTGAACTCATTACTCAGGTATTGAGGACGCTAAGCGTAATTGAAAAGATATTACTATTCTGCTACTTCATTTAGTGATTCTTAATAGTATTCTCTGCAATAAAACAGTGTAAAGAAAAAGGCCTTAAAGTTGCTGTTGCATCTAGTGCTGATCGAATCAAGGTTAATGCAAACCTAGCTGCTGCCAATCTACCGCTTTCAATGTAAACCCATCTGGTCATCTTCTCAAGTTTGTAGTTGTGGGATAGCATATACAATTTTCATTTTTGTAGATCACTGATTTTTGTCACTCCATTTATTTTGTTGTCCTTTTTTCAGGTTTGATGCTATTGTGTCAGCAGATGCTTTTGAGAAACTGAAACCTGCTCCTGATATCTTCTTGGCCGCATCCAAAATCTTGGATGTCCCGACTAGTGAGGTTCAGAAGATTTTGCCATTTTCTTTAAAAGAAGATTTCTTTTGAGCAAAATAGGAGAAATTTGAAGATGTCATTTTCATGTTCTTATGGTGTTTCAGTTTGGTTGTTTCGATTTCCATTTTCATGTTCTTATGGTGTTATATGCCTGCCTATGTCTTGGCAGTGTATTGTTATTGAAGATGCATTAGCTGGAGTGCAGGCTGCCAAAGCTGCCAACATGAGGTAAAATTGCAAAAGTTTCATATTTTATCCAATATATATTGTGGGGGAATGAATCATGTGAATCGTCACGTGAAGTCGGATCTGTTCTTTTTATTCCTGTGCCAATTACACGAATCATTTGTTTTAATTTTTGAATACTTAGAACTACAGATTATAGTTTTGCAAACTGCTAATCTTGTTCTGCTACTTGTAGATGCATAGCAGTCAAAACTACTTTATCAGAAGTGGAGCTGAAGGCTGCTGGTCCATCCCTAATCCGAAAAGAAATAGGAAATATTTCGCTCGATGATATTCTCAGTGGCGGCTCTGGCTATAGTATGTAGTTTTGAGAATATGATGCAAATGCCTTTTGTACCCTCAAGAATGTAGAATATTAAAGCTACACTAGTGCCAATTTTTTAAGGAATATTATAAGACCTATTTTCTTGTGAGCAGCATCCTCTGTATTGAAACTCCTTCTCAATTATTTTCAATGCACCCTTTTGATCTAATTGATCTATAGTCTGGTTTCTTGTTCCATTGAGACAGTATCTCATAAGCTTATAACGCCATTCTCCTACCATTTTTTTTTTTTTTTCAGACTAATCTTCCACTTTTTATATCTTCTGGAACATAAGGTCTTATGTTGATATGCCACTGCAGATGGGACGATTCAGGGACCTCAAGTTTCTTATTTGTCATCTCAAAACACAACAGAAAAGGTCACAGAAATAAATTCTGAGTTAATACAGAAAACCGGTGCTTCCAATGGTGGGTTTTTCTCAGATGGAGGGTAAGAAGGACTCTCTAATTACAACATTTGAAGTACTATTTTGATTAAGTAATCCATTTCTTATTTAGCAGCATCTATTTTTTATCGTGTATATTTCAACCTATTAATCAAAGTTATCAAAATTTACATTTTACCTAACAAATCATTCTTCTAGAAACAGCCTAAGGCGTATTTGTGCCAATTTTATTTTACACATCTGTGTGCCATGTGTTATTGGGCTGTGTAACCTGTTAACATGAGAAAATTTTCACACGGTTGCATTTTTCGTTTAAACAGACAGCATATTGCACCCCCTTAGCTTGAGGCTGCAGAATAATTTATGAACAGGTTGCAGGGTTCTTCGGCGAGATATAGTGAGATATGGAAGCTTGGGGATTTCTTTGTCTTGTCTTGCCTTTGCCATCTCAAACTGGAAGGTATAACTCAAAGAGGAGAATTCTTGACGAGAGTAATTTTCAAGTGACCATTAACATTAAAAGATGACATCTTAGATTCTTAATCTTTTCCTCTTCTTTATTTCCTAGCTTCCGTAATTTATACATTCTATTGAGATTCCTCCACAGGCAATGCAATATACGTCACCTCAAGCTATTTGGAATGTGATATTTGGGATCAACCAGCCATCTCTTAAACAGAAGGAAGGTAATGGTATCACAGCTCTGGTGTTGGTATATTCTTTTATCTGCTACATTTTCTTTTGATTTTGTTTTCCTATCTATTTATCACATATCTTTATGAATTCGTAGTTACAGCAGAAATGAAAACCACAAATTTCTTTTCTTCCATTAATTATTTTATAGGTGAATCAAGATTTGAAAGAATCCAACAATTTGTGAGCTATATATCTGACCTGGAAACCAGGTAAATAAGGATTTCACTGCCCAACCTTTTTCTATGTAATTTGCATTAGTAGCTGTTTTCATATTCGTATTCCTATATCATTGTTGTTACTTTACATAAATATATGTATAACCTGCTTGATGAATGGTCTTTTTACTTTGCAAGAGGAACTGCTCCTATCGTGCCAGAATTTCCACCAAAACTTGATTGGTTGAATACAGCTCCCATTACGCTTAGCAGGGTAATTTGTATGCAGCTTGAACTTCTATATGGTTAAACCAAGATTTACTGCATAGCTTTAGTTTTGACAAGTACTTTTGGCAGGATCTGAAAGGAAAAGTTGTTCTGCTAGATTTTTGGACCTATTGTTGTATAAACTGTATGCATGTACTGCCGGATCTAGAGTTTCTGGAGAAAA